AGGGTTGAGGAATTAGGATCTGTCAATTCAATGGGTGTTTCGTGTTTGTTAATGGCTGCTGTTCAATTGAGGGTTTTGGGTCTTTCTTGCTGATGGCTTGCTTGTTCCAAGCTTCATTTTGGTCCAGTCACCAGTGATCAAGTTCAGCCTCAGCCTCATTTTTATCCTCTGAGCTGAAAAACAAGGGGCTATAGCATCACTGCGACTAAGGTTTACGCATATATTAGTTGGGCTACCTAGAGAGAATGGGGGCGTAGATAGGGTATACCAGCTGCATTACTTCGTTTGGAATTGGAGGTGGAGGGCTACCCTAACATCATCCACTTCATGTCAAGATAACCAACTGATAGCAGCTTAATTGGTAGGATTTCTGACTGGTTGTAGCAGAGACCTAAGATCAAATCTTGATGCCACGACAGTTGGGAAGGGTTAAGGGGATAGCCGGACTTGTATAGTTACATCAAAATATGTGAGAAAATTTTAGTTGTCTATATTGGCCGGGGCGGAGCTTGGGGGGACCCAGGGAGCGATTCCCCCCAAACCCCCTATGGTCTAGAAAACCCCACTTGTAATGCTCTTTCATGTAAATTTTCCCCCTTCTCCCTAAGTTCCCACTCCAATGGTTGGCTCCTCTGGCCATCAAAATTTATTTTTTCCCACTCTCTCAATCCACTTTAGGTTTTGGTCCCCCTTATAAAAAACTCCTGACTCTGCACCTGCACATTCAACAGTCTTTATTGTTTTTACAGGGTTCTCTCTATGTGACATGCAATTCATACAGTCCACTGTTACTATTATATCAAGTTCATTCATATAGGCTATGTGTAGCCAAATTTTTAACAGTCATAAAAGCTCGCTTGTAGGGAGGGGCACCTTGACCTGGTGAGTGGTGACCCACCATCTGAGCAAGGGTATTTACACCAGACCTAGCTTCCTCCCTTGAGTACTGATTAATGTTAGCATCTTTCTCTTTACTGGGTAGATTAGTTCCGGTAGTTGGTGTAACACAAAATCCACCACTCATAGAAATGTTAATTAAATTAATGTTAAGGGGGCATTCATTTTTTGGATTTTGAGAGAAGGAAAGTTTGGTTAATGAGATTTTGATTCCCGTTGATCAAGAAACCCATATTCTTTTTTCATATTTATGTGAAGATCAGGGAAAGTTTATTTTCTTGGGCATCACTTACCTGGGCAAGTGATACCCATCTCATAGGTGGGTAAATAACTTTTCCACCTTGGAGGAAAGTTGTCAAATGCCAATACTTGAATGGGTCAATATTGTCATTTTTAATAATGAATTTTTATGATTAAAATGGTTATTATCTTATTTACGTAGAAAATAAAAGAACATGGGTAAGATTCAAGGGCGCTGCATTTGGCATTCCTTATATCAAGGACTTATTTAGTAGCTATTTGTTTTTCCTTTTTATGGGCAAATCGGATGGCTGTTATCATTTGATTCATTCAACTTCAGTATTGAATGGTGACCTGCCCATTCAAAAAAAAAAAAAAAGTGTGGGTGGCCTACGTTGTGAACTGTCCCAGTTGATGAATAGTAACCGTGTAATAATCTATGGTGTGGCAATCCCTGGCAACCGTAGCAGTTAGGGCTGTCAACGAACTCCTAAATTTCTATACCCGATTCAATTGTTTTCGAAATCCGGAATTGATACCATTACAATCTAATTAAAATCCAAATCCAATTATTTTTTTGTATATATTGATTTAATATATAAAATTTGTAAATAAACTCGTTATGTATAAATTAAAAAGTAATTATTTTTTATTTTTTAAAATCTTTTATTTATTTTTAAAAAATATGAAGCACAGTCGGATTAAATCGGGATTTGATCCAAATCCGTTAAGAATCAAAATCTGATCTAAATTTCACAAACCCAATTAACAGCCCTAGTAACAGCTAGAATAAGCACTTACTAGTAACCGCAATAGAATTCACACCTGCACCCACCACAGCATATCCCAACCGTCAATTAGGAACATCTACCACTAACAACATTGGGAGATGCTCCCAATGCATGTTGAGATGTGCGTGTGGGGTGTTTGTGGGACACCATCGGGGCAAAGACTTGGAATCTGCTTCTCATGGAGCATGACTCACACCGACCTCACAGCCACATCCCACCCAGTGTTAAGAACATCTCCCGTAAATAATAAATACAAATACAAGAAATGTTCTCGATGTACGGTCAGGACATGCTGTAAGGTGCACTGTGTGAAGAGCAGATCTAAACTCGGGGGCAGATGTGATCTCACATCAAGAGATGTCTAAGGGCTACCCCGCATGCCCTGGGCTAGCCACTAAACGGGCAGATTGACTTGCATTTCTTGTGTTCTTTTCACTTTTGAATAAAAAACAGGGTAAAAGACTTGAACCTCCCCTGAATTTTCTCTTAAATACTTAAACCTCCCCTCTTGTGCAATGCTGTAATAATTGACAGAATTTGTGAAAAGACTTTTCATTCAAATTTTCAAAGAGAAACATTGAATTTATGTCTGTTGTGCTTTTGGACGGCTTTGTCATCAAATCAGATACCACCAACTTCTAGTTCGTCACCATTAGTCTTGATTGAAGAAACCGAAGTGTTCAATCAGAGCCTGAGCTCAAATGGCAACTCCAGTCTACGTGGCAGATTGAATAAGCTATGATGTATAGGTTCACAGTGCCGAGAATCCAACTTCCACTTCATTGTTCAAATTTTCAAATCATAATAACAATTTTCTAATCAGTAACTAAAATTAGCCACAATGCAGCCATGATGAGCATGTGAATTATCAAGATTCATCAAACCAGTAACTAAATGTCTCCTTGCTTCCAGATCAGCTTCAGTCAATGCAAGGCCTGTTCGAACACCGTTCAAACAGCCTTTTACAGAAGGCCATAAAGGGTATTGGAACGGGCCTTGCACTGACTGAAGCCGAGTTCATTAGTGGGCCCACTACCTAGGAATTAGGATAAGATTTGTGGGTAAGTAAAATCGGGTGAGTAGAAGTGGGATAAATTAAGGGGACACGTTATTAGTAACGTATAGGGGTTAAAATGATTTTCTGTAATTGTATTGTATGTAAAACGGCTGAGTTTAGTGTTTAATGCCTTATTTGTAGGAGGGGTTAGTATTTTCTATAATTATATGTGAAACGGCTGAGTTTAGTGTTTAATGCCTTATTTGTAAGAGGGGTTAGTTAGTTAGAGAATAGAGTCATGTTAATTTGAGAGTTAATTAGAGTCTATATATATATATATATATACATATTCTTGCAAGTATCGTATAAGGATATCAATTGAAGAATTTTATCAAGAACCATTGGGTTTTTATGGGATGTCTCTCGTCTCCCTCGAAGGAGACGAAACTCACGTTATGCCCTGCCCTTAACCGGGGGATTGTGACATTATTCCATCGGCTTAGGATTTTATCAGTCACTGCATATATGATACTATACCTTGCAAGACTTGTTCAGAGGATTATACCGTTATGCGGGCTTCAATAATGATCCTAATGTTAGAATGGGTTGTTGCTTTTATGGAGAAAGATTGTAGCCCAGACAATGGGTTTCGGTGGCCTATATTTGCAATGATACTAGAATCCCTATTGATGTTGCATCAATCTGCAGCTTCCGTTTCTAAGAAAGTTGTTCACCATTACTGCTGGACTGTATTGGCTTTTGCAGCTGAGAGCAATTATCTTTTCAATGAACGGTGCACCACCACCTTCCACCAGTCTAAATCGAAGTTCGAAGCCTTGATGAACAGAGCAATCCTTGGTTTTATCATGGATTGGACGTGGGTGATTTGAATCTCTGGTTCTCTGTAGAAGGTAAATTTGGGTATTGGAAAATTTTCAGTTACGCATAATGTTACAAGTAAACGAATATTGAGAGATTGTTAAGAGGGGGAGGCATGATGCCATCTAATTTACTACTAATTCTCACCACCGGCGTAATAATCGTCACGGGCCCATATAAAGGTGAAAAGGTGGCTGCTATCTGCCCAACCAGTTTCAAAGAAACGTAAACTAAGAGAACTACATGACTCTGAATGTTTGGATTGTTGGTCACTTGGTTGAGTAGTGAGAGATGTGAATGTTTAGGGTGCAGTTAAAATAACCCTATGGAACAACACTAAGCTTTTAACTGCAGAATGCCAATTGTAACCTTAGAGAAGAGGCAGGCCGCAGGGGCGGGGGGATGATCGCTAGGCCTTCCGCATCACGGCATCAGCCGTTTCACCAGTTGCGGAGAAAATGTCCACGTTCTGCATCTGTTAGTTGTGCTATATAAATAGCCCAATGTAGTGGCAGATCAAACTCAAAAGGATAGAAAAAGGGTAAGGAACTCCGCATTCAACAATTTCCTTTCCTTCATTTTAATCAAAGCACACTAATGAAAACTCATAATGTGGGGGTGGTATCTGTTTGGCCAAATTCTCAAACAAGAGTGAATGATGATATTAATGTAGATGGACAAACAGTTCATCCCAGAAACCGGCCACATTCCGGTTCCGTTTACCCTACGCCCATCCTCGGTGAAACAACGTTGAAATATCAATAAATTGTCAAACTGGCTGTTGGTTCGGACGATTGTTCACCTGCTCACGTTTTTAAACCCTAATTAGGGTTTCGACTATAATACCAACAACGCAGCCATAAAAGAAACTAGGGTTCACACTATCATACCACAGAAGCCTACAGCTAAATCAACCAGAATCAGCCGGGAGGTAACCTCTGTTTACGGGTTGATTAGCTGCAAGTCTTTAAGGTATCGTAGCCGAACCCAAGTTAAGTGTTTAACCGTTGTCTGGCCGAATGGTTGTCTTTCCGGTATCATCTTTTCCCCCATTAACTTAATCACACAAAGACGACAGCGGCAGAGACCGCGATCTAAGCTAATTTTTTTCTTTTTCTTTACTTTAATAACAAAAACATACATAGATAAAGGGATTCAATTTCTTCGAGCATGTATGCGCGGGTCCGACTATCAAATAGAATAAAATTTTCACAAATCAGATTCAAAAAGGAATTGCACAAACCAATGGCAATACAATCAGATTTTTATCCCTTCTTATACTTTGAGTTGTAGATTCTATAACGGGAGACAAATATTAAAACATAAAAAAAAACGGCTAGATCTAACTCGTTAACTGATTTACTTTTAACAGTCAGTCTAACGCTAGATATAGCGTAGATCTACAATTTTAAAGCTGCTTTCTACTTCTTCCTCCTCCAGACGAATTGCCCCACAAAAAAATCATCTCAAAGAAACTTACACGAACACTGCAGTAAACAGATAAAAACACTAAATAAGATTTAAGAAAAAAAGCAGATAAAAACGAGAAGCAATGTTACCGTTCAGCCCATCAGGGCGCGGACGACATGAGAAATCAAGGGAAAATTAGATTAGAGAGGAAAGTAGAGGGAGGAACCACGGGAAATCATCGGCATGGGAGGCCTTGGGAAGAAAAGCATAGCAGAAGAAGAGAAAGAGAACGAGAGAAAATGAATTTATCTCGGTCTCTCACTCGCCTCTGCTTCCCAAGGCTCCCATCCCAAAAACTTCCAGCAGCTCCATCTCCCTCTCCCTGCTCTCTGCTTCGCGGGGCTCTCTTCCTCCTGCTTCATCCGCCTTCATCTGCTCACCTACTTACATAAATAGGTGAACGAGGAATTAGGGTTTAACCAAAGCCGCGTTGCACGCCTCTCCGTAATTTTTGCAATTTTCTTTTCCTTCCTTTCTGATCATGCAACGCGTGCAACTTCTTTGTGGTTTCTCATTCCTTATTCCGACGTTAAAAGAATAAAAAATAAAAAAAGGATAATTATCAAAGCGTCATCGACCGTTGAATCAAAAGTTGAAACAGGTGTAAAAGACTGCTAAAGTGGAACAAGTTGAGTCTCGTGCATCAAAAATACACATAAACATGTTCTTAGCTTTTTCTTTTGCTGTCTTCTAGGATCACTAGTAGGGAATCCATGTGATGTACAGAAAAATCTAATGTCTGATTTGCGGGTAAAAATGATCAAAAGCATATATTGAATGTTGGTAAATTTTTAAAAGTATATTTATTAAATTATTGATTTTTTAAATATATTAAATAATTTATTTTCTTTTTTAAACATATTATTTACAAAATTATACTAATTTATTTTTTATTTTTCAATATAAGTTAATTAATAACTTTCTTTTTTAAAACTTTCCAGTGTTATACTAACTTATATTAATAATAGAAATAATTTGTGTAATTATTGGTTCAAATTGACATTTTCCTTTACCAATACTAATTTATCTTTAATAATTTAAAATGAAAATCACACAATTTTTAAATAATTTTCCAAAATCTATCAAATGTAATAAAAATTCCCAAAATATTCCAATAACTTTCAATAATTATTTACTACATTTTAAAGAAAATTTCCAAAATTACATTAATATATATTTTTATTTTCTTCTCCAAAATTTTCCAAAATTATGATATTTTGTTTGCCAATTTGCAAACTCCACCAACTCTTTCCTAGAGCTATAATTGTTGAATTTATTTTTCAATTTTTCAATTTTTAATTAATTATAAATGACACTTATGAAGAAATTATTGGTTGAAAATTTTGTATATTCATTGATTTCTAGTAATTTTTCTGGAAAATAACGCAATTTAATTATTAGTGTAATAAAATTAATTTTAAGAAATTGTAACTATAATAAAACCTTTATTATAATGATTACTCTATTTAATTACTACACCAAAATTCCAATAATAATTATTAGTGTAACAATTATTTTGAAAAAAATAATTAATTTAACTACACTAATAATTATTATTGGAATTACAGTTATTTCAAAATTACTATAATTACAGTATTTTGAAAATAACAAATTTTACTATAATAATTAATGTAACTTAATAAATATTATTACACTAATAATAAAATTATATTAATAAATTTCTAAAAATGTAATAAGATGGAAATATATTTTAATGACAAGGGTATAAATGGAAGAATGAAATCAGGGTCCTTTGACGATAACATATGGCCATTCTTATTTTTATTAATGGGTAAGATTTAATTTAAGAATCCCTATATTTTAGGATAAATTTATTAACATATCCCTACTATTTAGTTATTTGACGAACTATATCCTCATTGCTTAATTATTTTTTTAAAACACCTTTATTTAATTATTTTCTTAAACCACTCTTATGTTTTTTATAACTGATTAGTTCTATTCTTAGCATTCGTTAATATTCTTAGCATATGATACCATATGGCATTTAATTTTTTTTTAAAACTCAATATTACCTTTATCCCCTTCCTCTCAATATAGCAGCATAACATCGACACACACACACTCGCTCACTTCCCATGTTTCATCACCATCGCTGCAAACCAGCAAAGGCAATAACCCCCTCCATGCCTGAAAGTGCATTAAAATAATTGTTACCAACATCAATTCGGATCTTTAAACAACTAGGCTGTTCCTAATCTTGCCAGAAACCAAACCAGAGGAACTAAAACTGCTGCTTGTAGGGGTAATCCCATTGGTAACGAGTCCACCACAAGTCCTCAACGGCAAGACCAGTGAACACAAATTGAGTTCTTTGAAATCTGACTAGTTGTACTCGTAGCACAAGGCATCGCAAAATTGATTGGACAGAGAATCAAGCCCTGCGGCATTTTTCCTGGAGAGATTGATGGAATTTTTCATAAATTGGGTTTTATTTTGAAAATTTTGAAGAATAATAAAGGGTAATTTTGACATTTCATTTTTTTCATTAGCATTTAGCAACAATAAAAATTGCCAAAAATAGTAGGGGTACTTTAAGACAATATATGGACAGTAAGAGTAGAGTTTGTCAATAGCTAAATGATAAGGGTAGTTTAAGAAAATTTCCCTATATTTTAATGTATTTATTAAAACCTACATTCTGGTTTGCATATTATTAAAATACCCCCTTTAGTTGCATAAAAAAATATACCCCTTAAAATGACTCAAAAATGTGAAAAGGCATGAATCCAAGGTTGGCCCGGACCAAAGTCTAGAAAATTTCTCCTTCTTTTTGAATTAAAAAAATTTTTTAATCGATGTCATTTTCAAAACTACCAATTAAAAACTCTACTTTCCCAAAAAAAAAAAAAAACTTCCTAATTCAAGAAGGAATCTATCCTGATCCGAGCCAAACTCGATTCATGAACAAGCATTAATTACAATCGAATTAGTTGGAATGGAATGGAATATATATATATATATATATATATATATATATATATATATATATATATATAATTTTTTTAATCGATGTCATTTTCAAAACTACCAATTAAAAACTTTACTTTCCCAAAAAAAATCTTCCTAAAATCTCTCTCTCTCCCCCCTCCTCACATGTTCCAATAATCTAAATAATCTAATATCCTAAAATTTCTCCTAAACATCCTCCCCCACTGTCCCCAACTTTCTCCTAAGTTACCTCTAATTTACATGGTGTTTGGAAGCGTGGATGCTTTTTGGGACCGATTTTCAAGAAAAAATGCCCATGCTTCCAAGACCCGTTTTCCAAAAAAAAAAAAAACCTTCTACCACGTAGGCAGTGAACCCGATTTTCGAGGCATGCCCAATTTTTTAATAATCAACTGAACCAAACAATGAATACATGGGCGTTTGTTGAAACGCCTATGTGGATCTGACATGGCACCATTTTTTTTGAAAAATGGCCACGGTTCCAAACATTCCCTTAGTAGAGAGTTTCTCTCCTAAATTATCTTCAATTCTTATTTATCTCCCCCCCACTTTTATCTACATCTATCTAAAGAAAGCGTGAATTAAAAAAAAAGAATTATTTAAATATTCTAACAAAATTACATAATAACTTTAAAATATTTATTAAAAAGACAAAAAAATTATAATCGATTTAATAATATTTACATTATTAATAATTATATATTTTTACAAAATTCATCACAAAATTATGTACAAACAATATAAATTATGATTTTATGGATTATTCAATCTAAATGTTATTCAAATCAAGGTTCAAAGTATCGACATGTATCAGGAGCTTCCCGATATGCCCCTACAGGGGATGGACAGACCTTAAACTGGCCCCTCTTAACCATGTTTGAAAAAAGCTAAAAAGGTAAAAAAAAAAGCTATCAATACTGTACGCCTTTACCGACGTATCGATATTTTGAACCTTGATTCAAATAATGAAAATCTAACATTAAAAATGAAATATTGTTTAAATATTTCAATAACTGAATATCTTAAAGAACAAAATATTAAAATTAATATTTTAAATCAATTAACAATATTTTAAATATTTATTAAATAACCTTCAATTATAATAAATAGATTAAGATTTTAAATATTTAGTTAAATAAATAAATATTTTAAATAACAAAGTATTTAACATAACTAGATTTTAAATAGTTAAAATGACAAAATTATGTATTAATAGTACTATGATTTTATGGATTATTAATTTCAACAAGTAATTAATATTTTAAAATTTAAATAATGGTATTATTTCAATAAATAAATAATATTATAAATAACTAATTTCATTTATACCAATTAATAATTTTAAAAATTGAATCTTTATTTATTATATATTTTATTATTTATTATATTTTAGTAATTATTTATTGTTTTTTATAATAAAATGTATTTTCAATAATTATGTATAAATGTACTTTTGTTTTGTTATTTAATAGAAATTTTTCAATAATTATTGGAGTTTAAACTACTATTATTTAGCTTTTAAATTTAATTTATTGTGTAATTTTGCTTTAAATTTTTCATAATTGTTGGAGATTAAAGTATTTTTTAGGGGTTGATTCGGTTCAGTTGTAGGTTGTTTTGGCCAACCAAATCGACCTGGTCAGATTGGGGGGTTGGTCACTCAGGTTATATCTGTTCGGGTCAATTTTTGGTTTGGTTAGTCAGTTCAAAAGATTTCAATTAAAAAAAATACAATGGCATTATTAAAATATAAAATTAAAAATTCAATTTATGATATAAACTATTTTAGCCTAAGAAAAATTGGAATTTCCCACTTTCCTGTATTAAAAAAATATATTTAAAATATGAAATATTAATCTATATCTATGGTCAAGTCGTTCAATTTTAGTCAATGTACAAATGGCCAAATCAAAACTGATCCAACCTAGTCGGGTTGGAAAATTGTTGAACCTAAGCCGATTGGAAATACTAGAAATCGGGTTGGTCAATTTCATTAGTTTGATTCGGAATGGAAACGGGGTGGGGCGGGGATGAGGAGCCTCTCCCCGTCCTTGTCCCCGGGATAATCTCCATTCAAGTCCCCGTTCCCATCCACGCTAACAGGGACAAAGTTATCCCCATCCCCACGGGGACCCCCACTCCATGTGATTCTTTATAATGTCAACCATTATGTTTTTGTTTTTTGTTTTATTTAAAAATAAAAATAAAAATAAAATAATTAAAATTTACAATCTTATTAGAAAAGATTCAAACATATTTTTAAAAATATTGACATATAGACGTAGATGTACATATATACATATATAAATGTATGCGTATATATACCTATATATATTAGTAGGGATCCCATGGGGTAGGGATTGGGGTCCATGCTGGGTGGGGAGTGCTCTCCCCGTCCCCGCACCGTCCCCACCAATGAGGATGAAAATTCCCTATCTTCATCTCCATGGGGGGAAATCATCCCCATCTCTGCCTCATTCAAGGCAGATCCCCACAGGGACCAGGGAAATGGGGAAATTGGCATCCCTAAGTATGGGGAAATTGGCATCCCTAAGTTTGATAAACAATCCTATCTAAAATTAATTAATGTTATTTTTGTACGGTAAAAAAATATTAAAAATAGTATATAAAATATAAATGATTATTAATTATTATATAAAACAATTGCATACTCTTATATGTTTCTATTATTTATTTTTAACTTAATAAATCCTGTGTATCACACGGGTCTAGGTTAGTTTTATAGAAAATGACAATTTTGTATGTACTTGATTCCGTAGGTGTTTATTAACGGTGTATTTATTAGATAAACGCTCATTTGAAAAATGCTACTTAAAATGTTTATTGTTTTTATTGTTTAGTTGAGCGTTTTATGATAGTTTTAAGTAACACCCCATAAAATTATTTTCCTCTTCAACTTAAAGTGAGTCAGAGAAGCATTTCGTTTCAATAAATGCCAAGCCTTGGTGGAAATAAGAATTTGAAATTCTCCAAATGGCTTATGCACATCAATCAAATCATTTCTATTTTTCAATATTTATTTGAAACATTGAAATCAAATAATGATTTCATGCACAATAAACACTAATAACTATACACTGATGTGACAATGTTTTTCTCATAAACGTCCATAGAACCAAATAAACCTCTGTTTTGTTTATTCAGAAATAGACAAGTGGGATCCAATAAGAAGTCATGTCAACTTTGTCTCGTAGTATAAATTTTCATGGAGTCCCGATCATGCTAACACTAAATGCCACAAATACTAATAAAATTAATAAAAATAACTTGAATTTATCAAAAATTTCATTCAATATTCTAAAATTCTGGAAATTTTCACAAAGGATTATGGCCTTATGGGCCCTATATACGTGGCTGCAATTTCTGAAATTTTAAACCTTCGTAGCAAATAGAGCCGGGCTAGCTAGAGCATAAGGATAAGGAAAGGAGGGCCAACTAGAACCTGACGACGATATACAGGTCCTATCTCATCAGATCCCTACTTAGCCTTACTTTAAGCAAAACCTAAATCTTCAAACGTGGGAGAGTAATCATAATTCCTGTTAGGACTCATGTGGTCTAACTAGGTTCAAGCTATACTATACAATTAAAGTTCAAGGATCAAAGTGGCACTAGGCTCAAAATACAGGGTACTAATCGGAAATTTTCTCTAAATAAAACAATTTTTAAATTAGTAAGTGTGAGAATGCGGATTTGAGTTTGAGAGCGGACACTTTGTGTAAATAAAACAACTTTTAGGGTATATAACAGAGACCAACAATGGGGTAATGGGCTTAATGTCTATATATAATTGACTAGGAAGTAATAGGGATATTATTCATTTGTCATGCATCCTTCATTATTTATAGATCTAGAGAGATGAAGTCTCATATGGTCTCTTCTACCAGAGAGAGAGGAGTCCCATATAATCATCTCTTTCACAGAAGATTAATGCCTTTATCTCTTTATTTCATCTTATTTATGAGGGAATCACCCTCTTCCATGTTTGATCTTCCATCTACACTCAAATTCCATCTTTAGAGCCATAACAGAGGTCGATAGCTTCACCTTGCTTCTCACCATTCTTGATATCTCTAGACTGCAAAAATCGGCATCAATTTTCAAAACTGAGTATATAGTTTATACTAATATAACAAATGAAAAAAAAAGCAACAAAAATAAAAAAAAGTAATCTATTATTGCAGCCTAATAACAACCAAAGATACATTGAAAGTTTTGATCTCACCTCAGCAGGAGATTCATAAACGATCCGGGTAGAGGATTCTGGGTGTTGAATCATAAGTCGTTGAGGAACTTGTTCTCCAGCCTTGAACTTCTGAGCAAATTAAAATTGAAAGGCATTCATTAGTTATTGAACTACAAAGACATGTAATTAATAGAGTTTGAATGAATTTTTGATGCATTTCAAAATTAAACTAGATGTAATTCACAATTATTATGATGAGATAAAGTTTTGTTTAACTAACCCCATTAAGATTCTGGTGGAATTTGTTGACATCTATCATGGGAAGAGATACCTCATTGGATGGGAGATCAGAAACAGTTAGACTCTCATCTTTCTCAGCCTGCTCTTCCTAGAAAATTTATCAAATAGTTTAATATATAACAAGGATTTGCACATGATATCAAGGAAAACTGTGCAATTAAATCTCTAACTCTTTGTTACCCCTAGCTAATTAATTACTTCATCTTGAATACCAGGCGGATTAATACATATAGGATGTGTTAAGTCAAAAGACCTTAGTTTCTTCCACTGGAATGACGCCGAGTAAGAAATCAAGAACAGATTCAGTGGTTATAGAATGAGCAATATCACATCTCTGTAGGGTTCGCCGGCCCTGTTCTTCGGTGTGGAGCCATGATCGAAGAGTGAGTTCCAGGATAAAAAGCTCACAAGCTTTTGAGAACAGAATGGGAGCGTCTGCACTTATCTTCTGTTGGTAAAAAATTAAGCAAGGAGATCACAAAAAAAAAGAGGAAACAGCTTATAAGAGGGTAGAATTCTAGTATGCACATGAAATATTCTTGGTCATCTGAATCTCTTTATTACAACAACTACTACAGTACGTATTACATGCATCATGTCTTTGTTACATTGTTTAAGTAAAATATGATGAATTGGTATGCAAACCTTCACTTCTTCATCCGATTTCATAATCCGCTTGATCCTTGCAATTGGAAGCTGATGTTTCTTTATCTCTACAAAAGCAAACTACTGCCTCAATTACTAATGAAATATGAAATATAGTTTTCATATTCAAAAAGAGAAAGCTTTTCCCTACCTCAAGAACAAAGGTTCCTTCTTGTTTCATGCTTTAAATATTAATACCATTATATATGCATTTAAAATGTTAATCCATATATAATAATGTTAATCCTTTTTAGATTTGATCATAGGGTGAGAGTTAGTATGATAGGGTGGTGTCACATTGGATATAAACATTTCATTTAAATGTTTTATGTAAAAAGCCCATACCAAACACAATAAACACAAATATCAAGCAAACAAGTTTTATGTCAAGACATTCGAAATGAAATGCCATTGCATTGCCTCTAGTCTAAACATTTAAGCCTGAAATGGAAATGACACCAAACAAAACCTAACTGATTAATAATTATAGCAAACAAAGAGCTTACTAAGCAAGAAGTGCCAGCACGGAGAGCCATTAATTACTGCTCAACTATTGTGGATAAACGATAACCATCCAGATGCTTCATCAATGTATAAAAGACACAAATTTAGAAAAACAATCCCCATTATTCATGCGCTATTACACAAAAACATGTTGGATGGGTTGTCGTTTAGGAGCATGGATCTATAAGACACCAGCTTAATTTACAAGCATCAGCTTAATTTGCTTCAATGTGCATCTATAAGACACCAGATCTGCTACCAATACACTATAAACACAGCTTCCAATATGATCCATGGCTGCACATCTCAAATATCATTACTGTATCAAAAGTGTAACCCCTATCAATCACAATATACAACTATAAAACATATTTGAAATGTGTGATTATAGACCATGTTGGTAGTTCTGCAGGTAACATCTTGTTGATAGCAAATTGGGGTTATGGCTGAAGAGGCTAAGTTCAAGTATTTTGCTAAATGAAATGCATTAATAGGTTGCTCAATTATCAAAACCATGGTTTTCAAAATTGGACTGGACCGGATGGTCGGATCAGAAAAACCAAGAATCGGTCACCTGACTGATTTCGTTTTTCCCCAAAACTGTTTTTTTCCTCAAAACCATTGATTTTGGTCAATAAACCATTAAATCGGCCGGTTAATCATTTAAACTATTCGAATGATTTTGACCGTTTTTCTTTTTTTAATTTTTTATCAGAACAGGCCGACCGTTTGAGTCGACCGTTTGACCTGATAACTAGACCCCTGACCGGTTTGGTTGCTGGGTTGGTTTTAAAAACCATGATCAAAACCATATCCATTGCTCATGTGTATTTCCCCCATTAGCTGTGCATAGAATTAGCATTCCTCATTCTGAGTATAAGACGAAGGAAATATTGACAACCATTTAAAAAAAGTCATCCCCATTAACAAAAGAATAAGATAGAAGAACAAAATAAAATATATATGCATGCATCATGTATGTATGTGTGTACACAAAACCTGAAATATGATGGATATCGAGTAATTGTTGATGCCAAAATAATCGCAAATTCTGCCTTCGCAATTTTTCAAGGGGAGATTCCATACCCTCTCCTTCCATCTAGGAAATTACAAAGCATGTAGCTCATCATAAATTACAAAGTAACACAAACACATTAGGAAAAAATTCCATTATCTTAGAAGAAATCCAAAAAAAAAAAGGATGGAATAAAATCCATTCAAAAGAATGATAAAAGAAACTTTGAAGGAATGAGTAAAATATGATGTTAGATAGGCCTTCACCTCATGCGATTTCTCTGGGTTGTGAGGCACCATGGGGCGAGGTGCTTGCATTGATGAGTCGCGTACCTGCATAAGTAGGGATGGATTAGTGAATTGTAGTGATTGGTTTAGGTCCATGACTGAACTTCTCCTCACTTTCTTGTTTCTATTTTCTTTGAAACTTGGTTTGAAAGAACATAAGAAGCTTGTCCTCAAATAGACAGAACAAGGTGGAGGGTAATTTAAAAAGTGAAGAGGATTAAATGAAGAGGAGTAATTCATTTGAGCACATCCCATTTTTTATAAATTAAACCAGGTACATCCATGGTGAAAAGACAAAGAAACCCCTATTTGTAAGGATAAAAATCAATTAAAAAAAACTATATATGTTTCTTTCTTTTGCCAGCCACATTTTCTTCTTCACTAATGGTTAAGGGTATGCCTCCGTTTGTGAAAGAATGCGATGTTTCCAAGTCACTCCCCAAAAAAGAAAGTTAACCTGAAGATTCAACATTCATTGTCACAGCAAGATAGAAAGAGTGGTAGAGTACCATGTGAAGTAGGTTTGATCTGAAGAACATAGTTTTTTTTTTTTTTTTCCTTTATAAATGTGTAGCCGTTTTAACTCATTAATTTCTCTAAGAAAAGAACCTGATTCTTTTAGCCACTGTCAGTTTGCCTTAAATGCTAGCTTGTTTGTATCCTTGTGTTCAGTTTTGCCTTCTAACTTATATAAGTAATCACATGGTGCCGACTTAGAAGACTAGGACATGGTGACCAAGAAAATCAGAAGCCCTATGGCCTCTCAGCGTCAAGAATTTGATTTTTAATATTTTTAATTTGGAGCGATGCTAGGAATATAAAGAGTTTAATATCTGTATGTTTAAACCCAAAATTTGAGGTAGTAGAAAGAAAGGGAAAACAAGAGCTTTCAATTTGAAACATCCAACAGAATTGGGAAGAAGAGATGAAAAGAGACGTGACACCCTTTGGGAGATAAACAAAGAGAGAAAAATAGAATACGCACTTAATAGTAGACCAGGTTCCTGCAACTACAATTTATTAAAGAATAACCTTTTATTTCATTAAACTTATAATAAATTACAGGCTCATCATAAGGGCTCCAATATATCTTGATCATAGTTTCCAATGTCAACAAGCTATCTTAAAGTTTTGATCCTTAGTAGAAGCGAAATAATTGTAGCTTCAACGTTCTAAAATTCCAAGGAAAAGAACTCTATATATTAAAACTTTTTTAGATTAATTTGATGATTATTTAATATAATTAACCCTATTGATGTGACATCAACAAACTAAAAATTAATTTTTAAAAACTCAAATTGACCAAAAATTTAAATAAACAAATGTTACAAAATTGTTATTCATACAAGAATCTTGAGAAACTTGATCTCTTCTTTCATGCCAGCCTTTTAATTGGAATGGTTGATAACGCCTACACCAGTGTGTCAATTTGTGACATCCGTCTCATGGGTGCTTTCAAAGAAAGCTTACAGAGAATCATGTCTCACCTATTTCGTCTCTATGAAAGAATCATCTAACCAACCACAAACCATCTACGAAAGAATTTTGGAACTTGTGGATTCAGCATTTGTTCTTTCCCTCAGTCCAATTTACCCAAGTGGTCAATATAATCAGTCAATGTTTCATGTTTTTCAATCCGGATGTGAATGTTTTATATTTTCCTCGGATTAGCAAAAAAAGGTTCTTGAATATGTTTTCCTCAAAACAAAGTGAAAACTTTTCAATTTGGTTCACAAAAGTTAACCTTGTTTCTGAAAAAATAAGTCTTCAAAAACAAGTACATATTTTCACTTCAATAAGGCTGATATATAGGCTACTAGTTGATGTGTGGTATGTAAATGAAATCTCCTATGCATACTCATACAAGTGCTGCTTTAAAACTTATATGCTTCATACCAGTTCCAATTTAAATGTATTTGACAAAAAAATTAAATGAATTTGGATTCAATCTATAAACAAAAATAAATATAACAAAGCTACGCTAATATCCCTTCCATCAGCAGCTCTATCTGAATATTGTGAATATTGTATGTTTTATGAAATATAATATCAAATTACTAGACAAAAACAGTGTTTGAACTTAAGGGTGTCAATGGACCAATTTAAATTAATTTGAATGGATTGAATGGACCAACAGGATATATTGGATTGGACCAATCCAGTCCAAAATTTTTATTAGATTGGATTGGACCTAGTCTGTTTATAATACATTTATATTGGATTGGGTTGGACTAAGCCAATATCTGGTCCATTAATATAAGATAAGAATATAGGTGTCAATAGACCGAGTTTGAGTTGAAAACAATCTAAATTGAAACGAATTTGAATAGATTGGACGATCCAGATGTTGAATTAGACCGGTCCAAAATGGTTCATAATATTTATTAGATTGGACTGGACCTGATATATAATGGACTCACATTGGACTGTATAGGATTGGACCAAATCCAATCCAATTGACACCTCTATTTGAACCCACAAATTCAATAATAAATGGACTCACATTGGACTGGATCGGATTGGACCAAATCCAGTCCAATTGACACCTCTATTTGAACCCACAAATTCAATGTGTTTTTTTTTTTTTTTTTGACGAGATGTGTATTTAGCCACGTTTATGAGTTGGGGTCCTTGTCCCCCCCCCCAAATAAAAATTAAACTTCTTTCTCCAGAGTTTGCTGCTTCGAAGGTCCGATAATCTTAACGTTACTCTGCGAGGGGGTCCCAAGCTTGTTCTTGGGCTACCCAACCCGTCATTTCAGATATCTTTCTGGTGTTGTTGGGTTTCTCCTCTTAGTTTGTGAGTTGTTCTTCAAATGTGGTAGCCCATACTCTGGCTACCAAGTTTTGATTTCTTTAGTGAATAAATTTTCTTTTTCGAAGAAAAAAAGAAAGAAAAATGCTATTTTGAAGATGGGTCATTGGCTCGTTGGGTCCCCTCTAAAAATTTTAATAATGTGTTACTCCTGATTTATTCACAAATTGACTAATTAACAAACTGCAACCAGTCCTATACACAGTTGGATCTCATTATATGCATGTGAGGAACAAACAAACGGGTGCTAGCTGCTAACCCCCTCCGTTAGTAGTTCCCCAAAACACCCGTAAACGTATTTTTCTATCCCATTTTCTTCTCCAAGCAACATTTGTTCGTTTTCGCCCTGCCCCGATGATGCGCTCCTAGCTCGCAGAGCTACATACCGGAAAAAGACACCGCTATAGGTGACTGGTGAATCCTTTAATTAACACAAAAAACTTTCTACTGTTCTCTATTTTTCAAGCATTCTATTGTGAATATAAATTTATTATAACTTTTTTTATTACCTTAAGTCAAAAAAAAAAAAAAATTGTACTTGTAGGAAAGGCAATGGGACGAGTCTGGGGTGGGGATCAAAGTCCCCATATCCATTCTCAATTTCTAAGTATGTAACTCCCCATCCCCATATTCAATTCCTATGGGGAAAAAATGAACCTCCATTCCCGATCTCCAATGAGACAAGTTCCCATCAGAGACCCGAATCCCTGAATTTTTTTCTTTAATAAAAAAATATATGATTAGGAAAAATTATACTTAGGAGGTGTTCTTTTTTCGGATTTTGATAGGGGGGAAAGTTGGTCAATGGGATTTTGGTTCCCATTGAATACGAATCCCATGTTTTTTTTTTCAGATTTATGTGAGGACTAGGAAAAGTTTATTAACCCATCTCTTAGGTGGGTAAATAATTTTCCACCTAGGGGGGAAGTTGCGAACATTTGAATGGGACAAAAATGCCCTTATGGATTTTTATGACTAAAGTGGTCATTGCCTTATTTATATGAGAAATAAAAGAACATGGGTAAATGCACTTACCCGGGTAAGTGTTTCTCAGAAAAAAACTTACCTAAATAACTGCATTTACCCGAATAAATAACTTACCAAAAAACAAACACAGCCTTAAAAAAAAGAAAATAAATCATTAATCTAAATGGGTTTAGCACTTGACTAACATTTATTTGAGTTGAATTGAATACACACAGATATAAACATCGGTTAGAGTAAGGTGAACGATCTCTATGTTCAACCCGATTGGGTTGGAGAGGCTAAATGCCTAGTGGGGTGAGGAAAAGTGCCATCCCTAATAAATTGTGCCCTCAAGAGAAAGTTCCTGACTCTGGCAATGATTTTTTGTTTAAATTTTAGCAACCGCAAATATAGCACACAACCAAAAACATGCTTTTCACCTTATGGGGAATACCTTATTTTGCTCATCCTGAACTGGTGTTTAACCTATTTATTTATTTTCTTCCTTTTTTTTTTCAGTTTGTTACAAGAAGGAAGCTAAACAAGTTTTGGAATTAATCATCCTAGAAGACTTCCAAGATGAACCTAGAAAGTTCCCATGGAAGATGGTTCTCCCAATTCCACTCCATGATTTTAGTTCCGCCCAGATCGGCTAGCATACACTTGGAAGTCGTTAGTAGAAGTCTTCATACACCATGGTTGCTCCGTGTAAATGGTCTCTATAAATGTTTCTAAAGAGAGTTAGCCCTTATTTGATCGATCAAGGCATTGAAATTGATTTTTACTGTACTCCAGTTAAAAGGTTTGCACTAAATAAGTCCAAATATATTGCTATTGGGCCTATCTATTTCAAGAAACCCATTAGAATTAAGGTACTTCACATATCTTTTTTGGGCTTTTGAAGACTGCGGACATACTTCCCTAAAACGCGTAAACATATGTGTTTCTGCGTGTCCTCGTTTAGACCTCCGATTATTTGGACACTTTGTACAAATTTGTAAATTTAATATCCAAATTTTAACAACGGCCACAATTGTGATGATATAGGTGAATAATAAAGTTCTTTCATATGAAAAGAGTTTTGACCAATCAAAATCCAGCCATGAATTTTGATAAATAATACAATTATTCATTATAACGTTTATGATTCCAATTTATTAGTCAGTTGTTTTTTATATATAATATTTTTTCTATGATCTCTTATTTTATAGAGTAAATTGCAGATTAATATTTTATACTTTGGAGTAGTCTCACTTTAATACCTTAATTTTAAAATGTGCTACTGTAATACCTAAATTTCAAAAACTATCAATTTAGTATCTGTCTTTAGCATTTCATCCATTATCTATGTCAGTTACTTGAAATTTTTGAAAATGTTATAACTACCCTTTGAATAATTTTAGAAACAAATTTAATCTACCTTTTCTTTAAAACCAGTAAAACTTTGGGAAAGCTAGGGTTCTTCCCATTTATTTCATTCAAGCTTGTTCTTGCGAGCAACTAAATAAGTTTTTGAACGAGCTATTTCCATTTTTCGTTCACGATTGAACGAGTGCCGGCCGAAAAACCAGGCGTTGCCAGAAACCATCCATCAAGACTGAATTTCATGGTCAATATTGAACCGTCATGGCTGAGATTTAAGCTTGGCATTTAAATCAATATTTTCTTCGAGCTGGAATCAGACAGGGACGTGAGGACTTCTCTGGAATCAAACACTAAGACTCAATTTGGAAGAAGTATAAATGCAAATATATATAAAATAATATAAAATTTAAGGTTTTACTTTCTACATATTTGTATTTGTACCCTTTCATGAACCCTAAGTTTACACAAATCAAGCCACGGAGATGGTAACGAAAGGTAAATTCGTTGTTGTAGATACCCTCACTTGGATTTCCATGAAATCTCCGTTAGACTTAAAAAGTCTATTCATCTCGAGGATTTCAGCTTTATAAGTCTCTCTCTCCCTCTTTCTCCCCGGTGTTCTCTGCAACTCTTTTCCAGGGTTTTTTTTTTTTGTATAGCTTTGCCGGCAAAGTTTGCAGTGTAAAGGGTTTTAATTTAAGGCTATTTTGGCCATTTAGAATTTATGTTTTTCTCGCCTATTCAAACCCAAAAGATATTTGTGTCCTTTCATGTGTCATCTAACATTAACTAATGACTGCATGACACATTTTAAAGTTCAATACTAAAGTGAGACTAACCTCAAAGTTCAGTGTATTAATCTGGCAATTTATCCTATTTTTTATTATCCACCAAAAGAAAAGAAATCCTCTCTTTGCTGAATTAAACACTCATAAGTTTCATTGGTGGAAGAGATACAATCACCACAGGTCCACAGCAAATGTAGAGTTTATGATCAATATCAAAAGCTCAGTTCTTTGTTTTTGGAGTGAACACATTTATATGCTTGTTGTGGTGATTTTATCTCCTCCCACAATGGAACTTTTGAGTGTACATTGGGCCATGTTTGCTGTTATATCATACATGTAGCAAGTGTAAGTCCAACAGTCCTCTACCACATGGCAATAGCCTTGAGGTGGTTGAGTAGGGGAATATATAGGCCTTAATATATACCAAAACATGAAAGGGTTCCATTAGTACATGACTAGAGGTTGAAGGGATCTCACCCTTACCCGTTTTCAAGCCATAATCACAGAACACAATAAATTGGGTATTGGATCAGTGCTTCAACCAAGCTAAGATATCGATGTAACTCATCGATTGAGTGGCATTTTTGGACTGACGTCAAGGTGGAAAATACGTTTTCATTTTTCACATGATTTGTTTTAATGGAAATGTTGTCGACAATTTCATAACTGCATCCAAATTCCAAATAGAGCTGCGGTATCAGTTACATGGAACATCTTTGGACTTTACCCAGTAATTAGCTGGAAATAAACGTTTTAATTAAGGAGACATTAATATAAAAGAACCTACTTGTAACTTATATGCGAGTCAAACCAACCAGTAAAGCGACGACGTGAGAAAGAAATTTGAGTAAGCATTTATATGGTGGGACTTGGGAGTACTAAAAAAATAAGAAACAATCTGCTGCTTAAGAAATACGCTAACCTTCTGCCTGACTCCACTGAGAGGGAAGATAGAGAGATTCCGCTGGCTAGTTTTGGTCGTTTGGATAGAGATTCCCATAACCTACTACATACAAACTTTATTGCAACTATAACCGAATTTGGATGATTCGACCATGGTCCCAATTTTAACAACTCAGATTAATTGTATACCGTGACTTATTACCTAATCACTAAGCCGCATTCAAACGAAGCAATTAAAGCAAATGTAGATCACTAACCAAAAAGCATTATCGCGAAAATACCTCTCACTCAAAACTTTGAAGTAGTCTCCAGCGTTTCACAGTGCGTGGATGGTGAGACGACCCTACCTTTATTTGTACTTGCAGTTACCAAAGTCACCGTGCATCCCCACGTGGTGCAGGGCCTGCAGACAATATTTTCACAATTCATTGTTCACTGATGAAACTTGGAAGCAAGTAATACCACAACAAACAAATATACGAGAGAGAGAGAGAGAGTGTTTGGTCGTGCTCATGACTCATGAATGATAACTCCAAGTCCAATCGAATATTGCGTACAGTGCCGGTATCAAATATCATGATTACAAAATTCCGGTTTGGTTCGTTTGATGATCTCCCAGATATCAAATACGAGAAGAAACGAGCAGCAGCAGATGACGCATCTGGCGTGCCCTGTCAGAAGCAGCTACCAAACCCCTCACCCCCCCCCTAAAAAAAAAAAAAAACAGATAAAAAAAAACTTATTCATCTCCGGTTCATCATTCCGCAACTGATTACCCCCGAGATTGTCCAACCCTGCTCCTCACTGATTATCATACTTATACTTCTTAATACTAATTTTATTGTTATTATTATTATTTAATGGTGTCTTTTATTTTTTATTTTTCTTATTATTATTGAATTGATCTGTATATAGTATATACATCGCAACTTATCCTACGTCCCCTGCTCCCTGTTTTCTATCTCTCCCTCTAAACATTATCATCAAAATAATCTCGGCCGCAGTTGGCAGGCATTGAATCAATCAGTCTTCACTATATGGGACCCATGAACTTCTCGTGGTCAGTGAGTGCATGCCGAAAATGGCAGCGGTGACCGTACGGACATGTATCGCCGGCGAGCACCATCCGGCAGACTTCAGTCTTGTAGCGCGGGTGGCGAATAACCGGGCGGAGTTCACTGATACCGTGAGCAAACTGGCAGTTCTCCCCATACGGACACGTACCAGTCTGCTGCCACTTATTGCAAAGCTCCGTCTTGAACATCCCTTGGTTATAGACCTCGAACTCCAGCGCTTCTTCCTCTTTCTTCTCTCCGGGCACAAAAACACGCTGCTGCATCACGCACATTAACAGAACTCCCCAATTATTAATATATTAGAGTTATAATTTATGAAGTGACAACTGACAAGACCAACCGTTCAATTGTCCCCACCACCACCATTTCCATGTCCTGATATGGTACTTACTTATCTACCAGACTACCACTATGTAGTACATCATTCACGGATCATAATAGATAAGATCTTAAAGGATTAATATTCGACTTTCATCCATTATTCAAGACTTCAGTGATCCTATAATCAGAAAATAACACTGAATCATCTCTGTTTATAGAACACTCGATTATATATATGTAGATAATCAAAGGGTTGGCTAACCCAAACGCAACCAAGGATGAAAATGGAACGAAATACATGTATTCTATCCCTCTAACAGGAAGAAAAATCCGAAACTTCTTCAATAATAAACCTAAAATCATGTAAAAAAAGAAGCCAAACTAATAATGAAATTAAGAACGGGTATTCAATTTATAGGAATTAATATTTACCGTTCCACTGAGGACCGGGCTCGCAACGCGAAGACGATTGGTGCGAGTGGAACCACCGCTGCTCCCGGCAGCGTGATTCATCTTCAAGTAACCACTCGAACGAATGGAGATACTCTTAGGCAATGAAACGCGGTCAGTGCTCATTTCGAATTGATTACTCCCGATAACACTCGTCGGACTAGAATCCGAAATTTCGCCTGAAATGCCACTGTTACGCACGTTATCTCCAACATAGAGACGGCGGAAATCGTCAATGATCGACAGAGATGGAAGAGCAGAGGGAACATATAAATTCTGGAGCGACGCCTGAGTCAAGAGGTTCAAACGCATAGTGAGATCTTTGTTGGTCAATCGAAGTTTGGCATTCTCCTCACGAAGAGCTTCGACTTCATTGGTGATTTCTTGGAGGCGATTGAGACATATGCCGTAGCGATTGACCAGTTGTTGGAATTCTAAGGTGAGACCGGCGAGATAGAGGCGATTTTCTGTGGCGATTGCGTTGTTATTGTTGTCTCCATCGCAGGAGCAACCGGAGGGACTTAGTGGAACCGAGTTCGAGGGAGATGTTTCCGGAGAGAAGATGGAGTAGAGTGAGGTAAGACCACTGCCGTTGGGTTGCTTTTGAGGTGTTGACAATACCTGCTGATCTTGTGATCGGGGAGGCGATGAAACGGCGGCATCCCTGACGCCATCGGCGGCGTACGAGGCGTCTTTCTGCATTTGCCGATGGCTATGTCCGCCTACGAAACATAGAGAGAGTGAGCGAGAGAGAAAATCTCAGTTGCGATTAACACCTATCGAAATTTCATACTTTGTTAGACACATACGAGAAAATTAAAAGAAATTAGATATCTCGATCTTCTTTTTTTGTGTGTTCATTCTTTCTATTGGGAAGATTCAAAGAATACGGAAGAGTTTCGAATGCAGGGCTTTAGAATCCTTGAAGCTTGAAGAATTTATTATATATTCTTAGATTAACTTCAAGAACTCGATATAGATCAATAGAAAAACCTAGGTTAGTAATCAGAGATTAGTGTAAAAAATGGAGAAAACTAATGTTTAGAAAGAATGAGTAACAGCATTGAGACGATTGAGATCTCATATCGGAATGTCTAAACAACGATGGGGCGGTGAAATTAAAGATTGGTGCAGGAAGTAGCTCACCTGAATCGGTGAAGAAGAGAGGGGAGGTAGCCTCCTTGGTTTTCTCAGAGAAGCGAAAGAAACAGAGAATGAAACCGGGAAGGATAGTGGGCGGAGTTGAGAAATGAAGAGGGAAGTGGTTTATATAGAGATCGACTTGGAGAGGAGGAAACAGTGAAGCATGCCTGGTGGCAGGGAGACCAAAGAGCCGCAGCTCAGACCGTTAAACATATTCTAACGGAATGACACTCCCATGCATTGGTTTAACGGTTTGGACATAACAGCGAGATGACGTGGCATAACGGACTCCGTCACTTGTATTGCAGTCTTGCTACTTTGCTTTGCTAGTTGTGACTTGTGAGCTGGACTAAGTTGCTATCCTGTCCTACCAGCTCGGCCCGGGTCTGGATGTCACGGAGCCGGTCCGGGTTGTGTAGCCCGAAATTACTTCTGAGTTCTGTCAATATAGGTTAAGGAGTTATTTTGTGGAGTACTGTCGGGGTAATGTGTAATTTCATAATAATGGTCACATGCACCTTAACCGTTATCATAACAAGACTCACCACGTCCGACGTCCGAGGATCGAAGTCCGTACTTATCAGAAGCAAAATTACCAGCAAATCCTCCTGAGAAGAACCAATTCACGACAAGTGTCCATTTAAGGATTCCAGTCTCCGGACAACCAAATGGGACCCACGTTCACCTCTCATTCTTCCAAATTCTAATCAGAAGATCATCACACGAGGCAGGTCCCACGTGTTGCCGGGGCTGGACTCCCTACCAGATATATGATGTATCCGACCCGAAGCCTAACATCGGGTCAAGGATATGAATACCTGTATCCGGAGCATGCAACTTTTTAAATATCGGATAGACTTTGGATGATCCCACCCATCCAAGAGTAAATAACAATAACATGTAGGGTCCCACTCCAACCCTCTTAGGGAGAGAGAGAGAGAGAATGTAGAATGTATGATGGTTGTGGTTGCGGTTAGAGAGGAGGGTGTTGTGTGGTTACATGGTTGCGTGACTTGGAAGGCCCAAGGGGGGAGTGTGGAGGGTGGTGGTGGTCGTTTGGTGGTTTCGTTTTCTTAGGAAGACTGAAGAGGTGGATTAGGACATACTTAGAAGTTAGAAGTGATTAAAAGAGGGGTGTGATGTTTGGATGGTTGCTTGTTTGTTACAACTATAACTAATTCTCTCTCTATGGCTACATCTCCCCATCAAAGTCTTTATATCAAATGTTTGGTAGGGAGGCATTCACAACCTTTTCAATACTCAATACTTGTCTCTTTTTCTTCATGGTTGTTAAGCTCACCTTAAAATTTCTTTTTTTTTTCTCTCTCTCTTCTCCTTTTTTCTTCCTCTAAATCCCCCTAGTTCATCATTGTAATTAACCTGAGTAGATAGAATTATAAAGTGGCAATTTAAGCTACTATATACTAAAAAGGTATTATACTTACTAGATGGCAATCTGACCACCTCCGCTAGGGCCCCTCACCATTCAAATCGGGGTGGTGGGGGGATCTGGGCCAATGCAAGTTGTTTAGATTGGATTTTAGGTTGGGCTCAAATTGAAACGAGTTATTTTAGACAATACCTCAATCTTAGCCAAGTCAGAAGTTAAATAGGGTTCATATTTTTTAACCCGATCCTTGATAGAAACTTTAAATCAAACTTTTTGAGTTAGATTTTGATGTTGCCCGATTCGAGGTGTCTCGAACCAAGATTGCAACCAGATAATCTTACCAACTAGCGAAGCTGAGGTAGAAGGACAATGCCTTGCAAGAAGATTTAAAACAAGAAAGCGATCAGAGGCCTGAGGAGTTATTCCCCGGATAGGCACTCTGACGCTCAAGTCAGTAATGAGAGATGGATGGTCAGACCGAATAGTTGAGAGAAACATGTTGTTCCGAGCAGAGACAGAATAACAGTATTGAGGCTAGAGAGTCAAAAGTCATTTACCTTGAAAGGGGGTTACCTATTTATAGCTAAAGATCTGTGTCCTATCCGGATGAAGATTCTAGAGTTGTCGAGATAAGATTGTTCGTCACGGTCTTCGGGATAAGTCCTAATCCCCGACAGAGCTGTTCTCCTTATCGGTATAGGGCTCCTCTTCTTGGTTGCGCTTACCCATCCTACGTAGTGCTGACGTGGCCGAAGAGATAAGATGGCCGTAGAGGTGCCACGTGGCACCTAGGGCCAGCTCAACCATAACCTGAACACCACCCTCCTAATTCTGAAGTCGAGGAGTGTAGTGCTCGACCGCGGTGTGGCATGGAAGAGCTATGTGGTTTTCAGCTGAGGAACTCTTTGGTGAAGCTTGTCTTTTCGGCTTGAGAGACCCGAGGTGTAGTCGGTTTTAGGGTGAACCGGTCGGTCCGAGATGGGTTAGTTGGGGCGTCATTTCATTTCCCTGAGGCTACGTGCATGTGAAGGGTGGTGGCGCCGTTTCATCTTCCTAAGTTGTTAGAGAGTGACATCTGATCACCACCGTTGATTTGCCTTGAACTGGCCCCGGGTGCCACGTGACACCTCCGCGGCCATCTTATCTCTTTGAACACGTCGGCACCATGTAGGATGGATAAGATTTGACATGGACAATACTTCCTATAGGTGCACCATAGAAAATTCTTGGCTTTGCCATTGATTGGGGGGATCCTTTTTCCCTATAGGGATGGGGATGTGGCTGAGATTTCCAGCCCCGTTAGGATAAGGGGTGAGATACATGCGTTTGGGGTCAAAGACAAGATATGCAAAAACGAATTCCGCCCCTCTCCTCATTGCAGTTTGGAAGAAGTATAAATACAAATATGTACTGTACAAATATATACAAAATAATACAAAATACAAGGTTTTGAACTCTACATATTTGCATTTGTACACCTTCCAAACTGAGCCACAAGGACGTCAACAGATTGTATTTGCCGGTTCAGTATGGGTTCGGCTCAAAATGAATATGATTTGAATCAACCTCAACCTCAACCTGACCTAGATAAATAAAGAGAGGATGTTAAAACTGTACTCTCAAACCAAGCTTATATTTACAAATATTACAATGCTACAATGTCAATGGGTCAGAGTTTAGAATGGGTTCACGTCAACTCCAACCCAACCCAAGGCCAAAACCCAATTAAGGCTACGATAGGGTTGGATTAAGACATTAAGGCTGTGTTTGGTTGTAGTGCAATTTTATTTGCACTAGTGCAAATGTATGGGAGTATAAATGTAAAAATGCAAATTCTTGTTTAATTTTGTTTTGAATTTTACTTTATTCTGTTGCATGTATTAATTTACTTCATTTGTACTGCAATCAAAATAAACTAAAATTTAAAACAAAAATAGGTTAGAATTTACACTCGAATCATTTGCATTGCCATGGTTTTGCATCAGTACAAATTTATTTGCATTGCAACCAAACACAGCCTAAGTGCAGGTTTACCATATAACTCATCCACGGACATCTTTAGCCAACTAGTATTCATTCAAATAGATGAGAGTTTCTGATTGGTTAAAGTTATTCAGGTATTATATAACACCCTTTTTGCTATCATAGAATGCCTTCTGTTTAATATGTTCTTTAAGAAATTTAAAATGAAAATTTCATGTATTTTATATATAAATATGTCATACGTGTATAAGATATTAAAAATATGTATTTATAAAAAATAATCAATACATTTTTAAAATTTTAAAAATATCTATAAATTTAAAAGTTTCCAAAATTATGATCTCATATTTTGGTCCCGTATTTTTTAAAATCCAAAGCATGTGTATTATTCTTTTATGTGTTTTTTTAAATACACAGTTCAGGATGTTTTGTTAGAAATATATATATATATATATATATATATATATATATATATATATATATATATATATATATATCAATGCACAAACAATACATGTCTTATATGTAAAATTCAACCCTAAAAAGGATAATGAATCCCCGTCAAAGTTTGGAGTCCGATATAACCTTCAGAGAGAATTCTATTTCTTGTTAAGTTTCTGTCTTAATCTGAAACCAACCATCCTTATCTTAATAAGATCACATGATATCAATGTTTACAAATGGTGGTTGTGCAAATATTTTAATCTTTAAATCTAAATCATTAAGTTAAAACATTTAAATAAGCACAGTAAAAATATTTTCAACATCTTAATCTCTTCATCTGTTTATGTTTTATCTACTTATTCTGTGTTTTTCTCTATCATAGCTTGGCTGGTTTGAAACGACAGATAAGGCAGTGTTCACTCAGTGATGTCTCACCCGACCCTCTGAAATCTATGAATATTATTAACAGATATGTCACACAGCCTCCAGTTCAATCGATGATCATCAGTCTCAGTCGGAGGCATCACCCATGGCAACATGAAGTTCTTTGAGGGGATGTAGTAAAGTGTGAGTATGCGTTTCTCTTCCATGACCCCTTCTCAAACTGAGCCAACTTGTAGTCTCTACTCTAGTCTTCGCTGGGAACTGGGAAGGCTTCATATTAGATCGGGTTCCCTTGTACTGAAAATGGGCTTCTCTGAGGCCTTTGCAGAAAAGTGTAACCCAAGTGTAACACTACTAAACTTCACACTAAGCATATTGGATTGGGTTGGGTTGTGTTTCCAAATGGGCAACCGGAATTGACTGTACAATGCATCATTTGGCCACAAGAGGATGTAGTATGTACTATGTAGGGTAGGGATGGATGTCAATGGTTGGATTAGGTACTTAGGTATGGGTTTGCCTCAACCTGAACCCGACCTGACTCAGCTAGATAAGGAGGGAGGTACCAAACCTGCCCCACCCCATCCAATATATAATACACCTATACTCAAGCTACCATATTTCAATGCTGCAATTCCAGTGGGTTTGGTTCAGCACGGATCTACCACAACCCGAACCCTGATTATAACAGACCCGACCCTAATCCAATAGGGTCAGGTTAGTGCAGATTAACCACTTAATCTGACCCACTGACATTCTTAGTAGTATGCATAACACAACTTAGGAGCCATGGAGAAAGGCCTTTTTATGCCCCTTCATTCAGATAAACAAATGCCAGAGTGCAGATTTAAGCTTGAGAAAAGCCAATTTGTGTAAAAAAATGCAGGAGGTTAGGTGTTATCCACTCAACCCATCCCAAATTCCAGATTGCCTTGCCGGGACAAACATTAGGTAATGGCCTTCCTTTATTCAGGCTGAACAAGTTCTGCCAAAGATGTAGACAACTCTCTAATGGTATGTTCATCAGATGATTGTGATAATCACATTATGTGATTTCTAGTCAGGGAGGTAATATATAACCTATCAGTGTGATATAGTTTCATTAATGATGGCAAATATGAGAATCAAATATTTCCATTTTCCAGTATATATTGAAATGACTCCATTTGCAATGTTATTTTCAGCATATACCAACCATTTGGCCACTTTGATGGACAGTTTCACAGTTTCTGGTATTGACAACATCAAAGCATAAGATCTTCTTAAATATCAATGCCATCAAAACTAAACTTGTTTTCAAAAACTGTTGTTTTAATTGCCTAAAACAACATAAGACAAATGCAGAAATCAGGCCATTATTTCTTTGCTAAAGCCAAGAGAGAAAAAAATATTTATGAATACCAAGCTTCTAGCTTTATTGCTTTTTTGCTTCAATAAAACATGACATGGCTCATGCATATGCAAGGCCCAGAGAATGAAATAAACTGAATTAATACAAGTGGTGAATACCAGACAACCTGGTTCCAACTTGTATCAGATTGAATATGTACAAAACCAAGAATGACAGAACAACGAAAAATGTATTCAACAGCTTCTTGTCATATTAATAGTATCAGATTCATATACTTCTGCCTTGACAAATCTTCCTTTGACCCGTTTCCTTACATCAGCTGTAGCTTTTCTAGAAGCATATCGAATTCGTTTCTCATACCTTAGAACAGAGGAAACTTAATTCAGCATTATGTCTTCATAACAGAGCATAATTTGCCAAAAAATAAAAACAGAGACAGTATAATTCCATAAATGTATTTGAAGTTAAGCAGGGATGCATATAGACACCATAATACCAGTAATACAAACTTGGCAGAGTTGAATATATATTATGTATGTATATATGTATTTCCATCCATGATGATCTAGGGTTCTTGCAGTTTCCTGGTTCCAAATGATTGGGTTTGCAATTGAAACTGTTCCTCTGTAAACTGGAGACTGGTTTAGCTTAACCCATGAAAGTTGACTAAGGTCTGGAACATCATGTATCCATTGGTTCTATTCTCCAAGAGATTTTTTCTGGACTTTGCCTGCAAGTTTTCGTGTGCTTCTGATTTTATATGTTAATTTCCTTAGGATAAAGATAATGTACACCCCCCTCCCCACACGTTTGTATGTATGTTGTTGGTGAGGCTCCACAGATATTTCCAGCATTTTTCATTAATTATCCTTGATCAAAAAGACTTCAAACTATGAAGACAATGCTAATTTTGTATTTCCAATTCCATACTAGGTACTCAGGTTGGAGGGGGGGCTAGGCTGAATGCCATGAATGAGCCACCTAGGTGACAAAAAATAAAAATAAAAATAAAGCAGGTGCCTTGTTATAATTTTATTACAAGAGATGCCTTTGTTAGTATTTCTGCTAATATATGTTTTATTTACATTTGAAATATAAGATATCCAGGGGTTCTGAAGAGGGTGAAAGAAAAAGAGGACAAAAGAGGAGTATCCCTTGGTTTTTTTCCTTGTTCTTCTTTTTCTATTAATCCTCTTTCATACATATTAAACAGAATAGGTGCTTCACTGTTTAGAATAGATAATGAATTGGTAATCCACCACCCTTAAATCTTGGGCTGACAAGAATGATCTGGACGAAGTCTGGGAGAGGCCACATTCTTCAGAAGCTCCTAACTTTTAGGTCCATGTTCAGTCCACCCCTCCGCCCAAGACTACCGAATAGCCAGGACAAACTTGGGTCATAAACCTAAAGAATCTATGATTAAAGCAAATTTATTTAGCTTGTACTTATTTTTATGATGTCTTCCATCAAAAAATCAATTCTTGATCAGTATTTCATCCATGTCCATTTATACCAATAGAATAATGTCCATATTTGGTCAATCCCATTCTTGTGGATTTAGGAATAACTGTTATATTTGAAAGTCAAAAATCATTTTCCTCGAGTAAGCTATATGTGAATTGAAACTTCTAAAAAAATCCTGACAACCAAAAATAACACCAAATTCTCAGATCGAAATATTTTTTATGTTATATTTCCAAGAAGTTTTTACATCAGAAATATCAAATAGTTAATTGGATAACATTATAGGTCCAGGTATCCATTAGACATTGTGCTAAGCCAAATGTTTGGTCCATCCAGAACCTTGAACTAACATCAACCAAATTAAAACCTAGGGTAATAGAATAGATAAAGAATTGGTAATCCACCAGTGGTATCAATGGGAGAGTAGTATTGCAGCATATTATTACCAGCTTCAAAAGCATTAGTATAGTAAGATACTTACGTCCGAGCCATTTTCTTCTCTTTGTACCTAATCATGGCATTTTCTTTGGCTTCAGAATGAGTATTCTCCACATCTGGTGAATTCCATGATGCTTGTATAGTGTTGGGAGAAATTCCACTGTCAAGACAATCGGAGGCACTGCTTTCAGCACTGAGCCTTGAAACAGAGAATGGCAAACATGAGTAAGATGGTCGAATTAAATGATGAGAATCCATGCTTCCACCAATTTGATAAGATTGATCAGAGTGTCCAATGCTTTTGTATTGATGAGATGATTGAGAGACATAAACAGATGGAACAACTGAAATATCCTGTCATAATAGAAAGAAGAAAGAAAGAAGTTACACGTTAGAGAAAAAAAAAGGTTATGAGGTCATATAGGGATGTTATACAAAAGATACTGAAAGTGATATCTTTATGAAAATTCTAGTCATCTTTAGTCATCAATCCCAACAGTCATCTGATAGTTGAAATGGTAATGGGAGTTACCACGGTTGTGACCAAAGCATAACTAGATTTATCTATGAAACTTCGTTGGGACAACAAGCCTCTCTCCTACAGGTTACTTCATCTTCAAAAGAAGTGGACCAAATATGTCGAAAATTGATACTTAAGAGTGGCAAAGGCTTTCACCTCCTGTTGCACTTCATCAGAATAGGTTGAGATAGGCTTTCATCACTGCTTATGTCAACAGTCCAACTTCTAGACAGTGATTGCAGACCCAATTTAGATATTGAAGCTTAATAAGTGTAGAGGAAACCATCCAAAACTCAAGCTAATTAGACTATGGAAAGGTTTTCATCAAGGGAGGTTAATATTGCTGGATTTCTAGGACAGTCAACAGTTCGTGTTGACCAAGGGGCTCCACATCTAGGGTTGCCCTGTCATAGCATTTTTGTGATTCAAGTTTCATGTTAATAGGTCCAGTAGTTAGTGCATTACAATTATTTTTATGGTTAGGAAAAAATAGGATAAGTTTTGTTCTTTTTCTTTAAGGGTATTTTGGGAAGTACAATTGGTAAACTCTGATGTCTTTTGGTGGTTCCCGATGACCAAGGGTAGTTTAGGCACATAATATTGATGTCTTATATGGTTTTGGGAGACTATAAAGTCTCCTAGAATTGTTCAAACAAATTGTTCATCTTATCATATTAAACTAATTTTCTGTTTCAGCAATAAAGTCTGCTTTCTTCCTCATTGTTCTCTCTAGTTGACTGATATTGAGAACTGATCTGTTATCATTCTTCTATTAATTTCTGCAATGGATCTTCTCCTATTATTTTGTCTGATATTTTGCAGTTTCCAGTCACTTTATGTTACAGTTCTTCATTTAGGGCCTTTTTAATCCCACAACATCTTTTACAGTTTACAACTGATATGACTACTCACAAAATTTTCATAATCTTGGACAGTTAACTGAATTTAACAAGTGGAAGGACAGGAGATTTCATCAATTCGTCCCAATCCCCCCTACTTATTTCTTGACACTTCTCCTTTCTTCTTTGATGTAGGTATATTTGGTCAACTCACCGGACCCTAACACATGGCATCAGCCAGGGGTACTTCCGTCAATTCACACTCCCCCAAAGGGCAACAGGGTAACTCTCGCCTTGAATGGTTGTGAAGCATTTAATGCAGATGCACGATCCTAGCGCATTTACTCCTGGTTCACTAATGAAGGGGTCATGGTCGACCGACGCCTCTCTAATTCCCCCCTACATGACCGCAATCTACGGGATGGCTACTCATTGTTCATTACTCCTCTCCTGGGCAACCCTAACACAAGGGACTCTAATCCTATAGTCCCTCGGAATGAAGTACTTCTCAGCCAAGGCCCTAATCTGCTTCCTGCCGAGTATGCTATCTAAGTCAGAGCGAGGAGGGCGCTCCAGCCTCATGCAGCGGCCCTTGGCCTCAATCTCCTCTTCACCAGTCAGCCCCTTGGCCTCCTCTCCATCCACCACCATGGGAAGTGCCGGTGCGTTCCCTAGGGTATCTCCCCTCGAAGGCTTGACAGTGGGACACACAGGGACATCACTCCTCAGCCTGGTGGACCCAGTACTCTCATTCACGGAGTCCACCCTTTGATGATCGTGCTTGGCCCCCTGAGTCGTGACTCCTTCCTACAGAACCTCCACACTAGAAGTGTAAGAGGTGCCTTCGGAACTACTATTGCTACTCTCACTCCCACTGATGCTGGGAATAGGGGTACTACTGGGATCACTCCAATTAGGAAGGGAATAGGCCTCACGGCTAGAGTTAGAAGTTGACATAATGGAAGATGAGGCCTTACCAAGAAAAGGTTTACTGAAAAAGGTTAGAAAAGAAGTGACTAAAAGACAAGGTGGTCTGAGAAGCTCCAAGTGAACGCAGCAAGAAAATGGTGGATTCTCCCCCATCTCCTCTCCTTTCTAAAGGAAAATGAATGATTAAGATCCATTCCATCCAACGACTGTAATCGAACTGCCTTAATTGTCCACGTTGATGGCCTCCACATGGCACCAACCTCGAAAGACAGAATGACACTGAGACCCAAAGCTGGCTCGCCCGTCGCCTCCGGCTTAGGATACACTAAACCGGGGCGTCTGCTCGATTGCCCGTCCCAGTCATGACTCCCACGATAGCAGAAGCCAGTGCCCGTCTTGGACATGGCTACCTGATAGTAGAAGTTGGCGCCCATCCCGGACACGGCTATCGAGCAATGGCAGCAGACACCTGTGATGGTCACGGTAATCTGATTGCAACAACATGAATCCGTCCCGGTCACAAACGTCAAATTGAGTATGGGCATGATAGTATCACTCACAAAGTGCTTGTCTATGAACAACTACAAAAAGCACTGCCAAAACTGATGTCTACTCTCATCGGCCGAGGCCGAGCCCTTGGCATAGCCCTTCCAACAGCCTCGACTAAGGCCTCGAGAGTGGGGGGCAAGTGATGTAGGTATATTTGGTCCATTCACTAGACCCCAACATGTGGCATCGGCTAGGGGTACTTCCATCAATTCACACTCCCCCAAAGGGAAATGAGGTAACTCCCGCCCTGAACGGTTGCGAAGCATTTAATGCAGACACATGATCTTGGCACATTTACTCCTGGCTCTCTAATGATGGGGTTGTGGTCGGCTGACGCCTCTCTAACTCCCCCTACGTGACCGCAATCTATGGGATGGTTACTTGTCGTTCATTACTCCTCTCCTGGGCGACTCCGACTATAAAAGGGACACTACAACTAAAGGTACAAACATGCATACTTGAGCTAACACTTACTCTCTTGTGGTGACCTTAGCTTACTCTGAGCCCTTGGTTAACTTGACCGTCAGAGTCCTCACCCCTGGGAACACTCTTGGGGCCTTTGACATCTTTTGACTCTTAGTAGGTGGGACCCGCAGCCCTCGAACCTCAGAAATTACCTCGCTACCCTTGACTCCAAATTTGGCAACAACATTCTCCATCCTCCTCTCCTTTTGCTTTTCATATCTCTTATAATCCAAAACAAGAGCTCATGTTGAATGCAACAATGCAAATTGTATTGAGGATATAAAACCGGAGAAACAAATAGGATGAAGGTCCATTACCAATTATGGTCTTGGCTATCCAGCATCTTGGAGGGGTAAACTGGATATGGACCTTACCATTGGCAACTTTTTACACAAAGTGGTTGTTCTCAGACTTGAACCCATGTTTTCGTGCTTGTCAGCTTGATATTTTACCATTAATCCAAGTAGAAATGAAAATAGTAATATAGTTGTTATTATCTTTATAGTTCTGTTTTAGGTTTAGTTCCATATTGACTAGATTTTTACCCAGATACATAAAATACATGGCTATACAGGTGTCAAACATGAATTTACACCACAATTAAAATATTTGCAGCACCCTCCTACAAGCATCCAGGTATGATAGGCTAGATTTTTTGTTTCTTTCCTTTTTCTTCTGGAGTCCTTCCATGTCTCTATGTAAGAAGGATTCATTCTTTAGCGTCAGATCTGAGACTTCAGGTACCCAGAGACTATAATCTTTTGAAAGATCATTAACACAAAAAAGCCAAAGTTCCCAATAGATGGGTTCAGCTACATGAATCCTGTTTTTCTATTCAGCTCTATTCAGTGCTATATCCAGTGTTAAATTATGGGCCCTCAAATCAATTTCTCACTAACTCAACCCCTGCCTGATTTGGCCTGCCTCTAGTTCTTCTAGGCCCTTTTGAAAGATCATTAATTTGCTAAAATAAGTATTTCCATTTAGTGGGTTTCTGCTTTCAGTTTCATATGTTAATGGGCAGGGGGTTTTGTGTATGTATGCTCTAATGATTGACACGCTATCAGATATTTGCACATTAAAATTAGAAATACACCTACCTGTTTTTTCTCCATCTATTGTCATCCATTAAAAAATTTCCTTCAATCATGCTTAAATTTGAGAGTAATGACAAAAAGAAAAATTATGGCATCTATCAAGAAAAAAGTCAGAACTAATCTATAAGTAGATCCATTTTAATAATTCTTCAGAATAATGTAGTGTTGATTTAAGATTGTGCATATATATCCAATTAAGGTAAGTTCCACCAAATAATATAAATGATGAAAAACCATGTGCCTATTTGTTCTTTTACATTCATAAGATCTGGAAGCTTCAAAAGTTAAACTTGAATTTTATATGCATTTGGGGAAAAAGTGAAAAAAAGACTTGCACAGATTAGAACATAAACAGGTAATAATTTTAAAGAGTTGAAGACATCAACCATATGGAGATACATGGGAGGAAATTCAATTGCAACATTCAACACCTTGAGAACTTCATGGTATTTTCCCCTAAACATTTTACATTTTTCCCATAAAACTGGGGGAAGGATTAAATGGGAATGCCATCATAAGTCCCTAAGACAAGAACAGTTTGGCAGACAGAAAACAAAGTTTTCCGTTTAAGTGTGTTTCCTTAAATATCACTCATATTCTGCAGCAGCCTTGTCAAGAATATTGACCATCTATAAGGTCAGCAATAAAATACAGTAACTAACAATATATAAATAAATAGCTACTACAATTTAATTACGTTTTGAGGCTCTAACCTGTCAATGTGACATGGCATATAACTAATATCCTATAACATCTCCTAACTAATAAATTTATGAGAAATAAACTATATATGATAGAAAACTGGAATGTATTTTCTATATGAATCTACTTATGTATACCTATAGTATGCATATTCTTTGCATGAATTTTCTACATATGCATATCTGACACCATACTTTCTTACATGGTAATTAAAATGTCAAAATTAAAAGGAAATTCCTTGAGAAAGATAATTTTAATATCCTTTTATATACAGACCATTTATACTTAAAGGTTGACATCACAAAGAAATAAAAATGTTGAAGAGACAACATAATTCACCTATAGACTTGTTTCTCCATTTAAATTGAAAGAATAGAAAAAGCAAAAACAGAAGTCCTTTCTATGCTCCATTCTTTAATTTGGTATTGCATGCCAGAACTTATCAGTTCTTCGTACTTTCTGTTTTCCATTTTTAATGGCTAAAGGAGTCTATCTTTCTTTTAGTGTGAAGAAAGATTCATCATGAAATCAAACATTACACTTCTGTATTGTCTTTATACATGTATATTGAAAAATGAAAATTGCACAAACACATACAATGTTCCCAAGAAAATTTATAAAACAATTTTTTATAGAAATTACCTATTACTAATAATTTTTTTACAATGATTATTATTTATTAGAGGGCCAACTTTCTCATCATTCATCACAGGATGAAATGGACAGCCACTGTTTTGAACCATGAAACAGTCACAGAAAAGTAACAAGTAGGAAAATAATATTTTTGGATGCCATACTGATTTTCCATGTTTGGTTTGAGAACAGATTAGCATGGAAGTGACTAATGTTTGATAGGTAACAAAATTTTTCTACAAGAAACTACTTGATAACAAACTACATCATTTGCTTAAAAATTTAATGGAAATTATGCAATCCTTAAACTGTAGAAACTTGTGAAAAAATAACAAAATATGACATAAATCTCAGGGTTTAAACCAATGCATAATTTTAAACCATGCATCAAGTTACTAAACAATAACTTCAGAAAGTTCCCATCATGTTAAGGAGATAGAGATAACAATATAACCTCTATTGCTCTTGAATAGCCATTATCTGATTTTTCAAGGGATATATCCTTGTCCATGGAGGAGAAACCAATGTCCTTCTCACCAAATAACGATCTAATATGATCTTGATCACCACTAAATAGTTCTTCATAATTTTGGAATGTCAGATCAACATCAGGTATATTAAAATCATCATTGCAAACAGTTTCCTCACAAATTTCAAGATCTTCCATAGTTTGAGTCCACAGCTGCAAGAGTTAAGAAAGAAAGAAGTTTTGGATATATTAGCATGGCAGAGAAAGACAAGTGAATGAGAGTATCATAATTTTGTAGCAAGATGAATGAAAATATCATAAATTTCCAGAAAGCGATAACTTTGCAGAGAAGTTCATATGAGATACCATAGCATCATAATGAACTACAAATGATGATGAATCTTTCATCTCCTACCATTACTAACAACCAAAAAGCACAAACCTTTTCATGCAAACCATACCCTTTACCGTCACAAGATTGAGGGTTGGGAGTGAACTCCGCAGCTAGTCCAGCCCAATGTGGTATCTCACCATCCTATACCAAAGTCTATTTTAACATTGCCAACAACTTGATACAGACATTCTTTTCATCATCATAAACAACCTAATCTTTTGAGAGGTCAATAAAGTGATATAGTTGATCGTTAGACAAGTGGATAACAACCAAGCAAGCTAGACCAGGTAAATGTTCATATTACTGTGCAGGAAAAGCTGCAAATGGACATATGGGTGAGATCAACCTGGAACAACTTGAGAGTTGTGGAGTCCCTCATGGATCAGAATTACTCAGTAACCAAGGAGAATCAATCAACCCTTATTTGTAGGAATCATTAAACTTCTGGAGGTGGAACCTTAAGATCTTTAACTAGGAAAGCCTAATAGAGATAAAACCTAAGTTCTTGATTGAAGAACTATAAAAAATTGAGCAAGATTCCTTCAAAAAATGCATTCCATTTCCTTTCATGTATTGACCTTTCTCATATCAAGAGATTACATTAATTGTAAAAATACATTAATGGGTGCCTAAAGAAATAGAACACAAGATTAAGGGGCAGCACCCAATCTTGTGGCCATTTAACTTTTAACAAGAAAAGCATATTAACCAAAAGAGCTAAGCACCTAGATATTTTGGACACCAAGTCCTATAATACATACAGAGAAACTAAAGTGCATAGGCAGAAAAACCCATGTGTAGTTAAAGCACACAACCAATTTCCAAGTACAATAAACAAATCTACATCTAATACAAGCTGTGTTTATAAGGGCAGTTCGGTTGGAAAAACAAGCTTAATGGGGCATGGCCCTGGATTGGTCTACCTTTAAACTGTTTAAAGGAAATTCAGATTACTTAAAGACCTGAGTACCTAGATATTTTGAAGACTAGCTCTAAAAAGTAGAGAAAGCTTATAAGAACATGGTCAAAATGTCAAATTATCTATGTGTGTTTATTTGAGGAAACTGCAAAAAACTACTGAGTACAATAATGGACACTATGTCTCGTATTGGAGTCTTTTTTTGGTGAACCAGTGAGGTCAAATTTGTGGGCTTAACAGCTGAATATGTGTTGATGGTATACAGATATGCATAATTAGGATGAAAGAGGAGCTAGTCATACAGTTTGGTCCCTCGCAAATTGTATCATTTGGCTGGAGGTTCATTGAGGAATTTGGTATTGACATCAATTTTGGGTATCCCCTAGACTTAGAACTAATTTGTTGAGTTTTAGGGAAATAAATAAATAAACTATGAAAGCTAATGAAAATATCATGAATTTGTTCGAAATCTAAAAAACAATAGGAAATAACAAAGCAAGCACCAATAAAGATTCACATAAATCAGTCTTCCATTTAGAATTGTAAATACAATATCTACAATAAGTGGCATAACTCTAATGTATAGACACAAATACTAATGCATGGTCAACACTATGGTGGAAAAGCAACACATTTATCAATGGATAATTGTATATTTATGATACATCTATCACATCCATCTATAGTCAAATTTCTATTATATTTCCTAATTCATTCTTTTCTATTGTTCTCAGTTTTAATTAATATTAGCATCTTTTCACAACTCTGTTATGACAATTACCATATTGTGACTAAAATACACCAAATGCACATTCATTCCTTGATCTCTCTCCCACCTAATTATTTATAGTTACTTTTTAATTATTTAATTTTTTTGATAAATGCTTTTAATTAGTTATTTTTTTAATTGAAATATTAATTATTTTTAAAATCATGCTTCTTGTGAAGAATATGATAGAATACACCATATAGTTCACTCTTCTTTTTTTTCCTTTTTTGATCAGTACTGTATTATTTTATTAGTATTTAATAAAGAATGGTGAGTATATACAATGTGTGTCAAGAACCCTTCATGTGCCTAGAATGTACTGCACTCCCCCTAACAATGTGATTTTCTATTTACAATTTCCACATTGGAAGTCACCCTCTCACCACATAGATTATTCTTTGATCCATATGTATCTTTTGAATTTCATTTTGTGGAGACATTCATATTTTAAACGAATATTAACTCGATAATATTTAATAAATAATAATTCATTATTAAAAAAAGTTTTTGAAACAAAAATATGACTAGAACATATCACAAATATGCACATTTATTGATCCATATGCTACTGAATTTGCTTGGATGTTAGAAAAAAAATGATACTTTCACAATTAACATTGCATTTTCTTACTCCCTTCTTGGACTCATCATTCTAGTTCTATTTATTTAAATGATTTATGTTGACAAAAACAAACATGGTCTGATCTGTACATAATTGTCCAAATTTATCATACATTAATTACAAAATAATAAAATTTAAGTGAATGGAATAAGAGTAAGATATTTTTTGTGTATCCCATCCAAGTGTGAAATGGTGTATAAGTATAACAAGATTGAATACAACTTTACACACAAGTAAGATGCCTTGATCTCCATACAGTATGGAAAACTGACTAGTTTCCATATAAGAGTACAAGAAAGCTAAGGAAAAACAAGGAAAATATATACCAAAAATAAAAGAGCATAGCTTTACATTTATTTGGAAAATGAGCTTCAATAAAAACATTACAGAGTTTCAACAAAGTCTTCTAAATTATTCTATTTGTAGTAGTTGATTATTTTCCTTTTTGTTCTTTTGATACATCTAGGAGAACTAATAATGTGCCAAATTTTCAACCAAATTACTGAAATTTTGCAGCTTTAAAAACGGGCAGATTTCATTTGTTAATTACAGATACTACATGTAAAACAGACTGAACATTTAGACCTCCTAATAACAACGGTATGATAGAATGCTAAATTATTCAATTTGTAGTATTTCAATCAAGGGCAACAAGAATGTGATAAAGTTTCAACTGAATTATTGAAACCTTATCTGGGATTATGCAGCTTTAAACACACAGGCAGGTTTATTTTGCCAACTATAGATATTGCATCCAAAACAGACTGAAATATGTCAAAACATAAAGCTAGGCATCCTAATTAGTAATTAGAAGGAGATGACAGATCCACTTAGTAAATTAGGATCAGGTTTTCTCTCCAGTGGGTCAAGGAGGCCTGGGGTCAGAAGGTTAAAGGTCTTTAACAGTGCTCTTCTTGGTAAATGAATTTGGAGATTTAGGGTAGAGAGGGATAGTTGGTGGAGAGGCTTAATTGCTGCCGAGTATGGTTCGAATAGAGGGGGCTGTTTTGCTAAGGTCCTGGATCTCAGCCACTAAGGGTCTTCAGCAACATAATCTGGTGGCTTAAAGGTCTTTGGGAGCTGTAATCTTGCTGTATTGTATTTTCTTGTCCCTAGCAAGGGACCTTTTCCTTTGGGGCCTGTTGTACTCTGTTTTATCTATTAATAAAAGTTACCTTACCTTTTTCCAAAAAGAAAAAATAGAAGAGGATGACAGTGTTGGGATGCATGTGTGAGTGGTTATGTCCGACGTTGGGAAAGAAAAAGAGGTACAAGGGACTTGTATACAGGATTGGCCCACAACCTAATGGCTTAAGCTTTTGGGTTAAAGGTGGTGTCCAACCAATGTGTAAGCCCTGGCTCATGTATCCCCCTGTTTTAGCAACTCCCCTCACCTTCCCAAACAGTGGTATCAGAGCCAAGTTCAGCTAGGTGCAAGTTTTGACAGATGCATGTGGTGACTCCCGTGGCTCTGCCAGTTTCCATGGTTGAATGGATGGCGAGAGCATTTAGTGAGCGGTTTGATGGATACATATTGTGACTCTTGTGGCTCTAAAAGGGCAGACCAGTGCACATGACTCCCGCCAAAGCAGGGTCTGGGGAGGGACAGATGTACACAGCCATACCCCTGCACATACAGAGAGGCTGTTTCCAAGATTTGAACCTTGGTCATCCAGGTCACAATGGAGCAATGCAACTATTGCACCAAGGCCCACCCTCCTATGGCTCTACCAGTTGTCAAATGGTTGGTGAGAGTAGATAGTGAGTGATTTTCAAGAGCAAGAAATTGATTCGCATGGTTAAGTGTTCTTGAACAGGTAAACAATTGGCAATTCTCATGGCTTGGCCCACCCATGGTTGAATGGTTATGACATTCCATTGGAGGTTGAGTGTGGGCTCCCTATCATTGTGAGCAAAGGTCTGTTGGTTGGTGATATAATATCGGCTTCTATTTGGAGGGGAGTTCTTTGTGTGGATGACAATGGAATCACACGTGGGGGGAGATTGTTGGGATGCACATTTGAGTGATTGTGCCTCACATTGGAAAAGAAAAAGAGGTGCAAGGGACTTATATATAGGACTGGCCCACAGACTAATGGCTTAATATTTTGGATTAAAGGTGGTGTCCAACTCTTCTGTGCATTTTTTGTGCGCTTGTACGAACTCCTTGGTTTTGTCGACCCCTTTCACCTTCCCCAACAAACAGAACCCTACCACAATGTAAAAGGAGTTACACTTTTAAGCAGAAACTCACAACAACTTTGCAGAATTTCAAACCTTTCGTTAATTCAAAAACAGAAACAAAATAGGTAGACATAGATTATTCTAACAGTTCATACTAATTAGATTTAGCAGTTAAAGTCTCTAATTTCATAGAAAATCAGAAAAAAAAATCTTAAAAGTTTTCACCTAAAGATTCTAGGAATTAATATCCAATGCCAACCTAGGAATTAAATAATAGCTAAATAAAATTTATGATATGTTTTAAGATATCAAACTTTAAAGATTTTAATGAGGTTGGTAACATTGTAATAAAGCTTTATGCAATAAAAGAAGATGTCAATTAATTAGGTTACTTCCATCCAATCAATTCATCCAAATCCTGAGCCGATACAACCAGGTGAATGGCCAACCTGATGCCATTGTGTAGGGGTGGAGATTTCTGACCCACCCATTTACTTAACGGGTTCAACCACCCATAGGATCAGCTGCATGAATGATATTACAAAGTCTCTCCCTCTACACAAAACAATCTCTATAATCTTGTTCTCCCTCCACCTACCCATTTCGCTTTGAAGTGCTCTCTCTCTCTCTCTCATTCTCTATTGTTTCTAATCTCTTTAAATTCTCAATTCTATAATTAATTCTAACTGCCATTATCTCATTAATTCCCATTTTTGCTCCATTTAAATTCAACCAATGCATTAACTGACCATAACTAACTGCTGTAATTAATTCCAAGTACTAATTAACTCTATCCATTACACTCAACTTGTGATTAATTTCTACAATTAATTATTAACCCAAACCCAGATCATTTCCATAATTAACTAAAACAACTAATACCCATTAATGCAAACTATCTAATTCCATTTAAATTATGCATGTGAACTGATTTGAACCCAGAACAACTTCATGAAAGACAACCATTCTTTCCATTATTCCATGACATGATAAGTTATTAAGAACAAGATGGTTTTAACACATTTTTATAAAAACTAAAATTAATATTTTTGAGTATCAATATAATTCATATTGATTTCCTAATATGAATGTTTCGATCAATGTTATAAAACTCAAACTGGACATAAAACCAAAAATGTTCATTGGACCAAGGTTTTATTGTTAACCAGGCAGTTATCCCGTCCAAACCGTGAAAACCAAAACCAGGATCCGGAATGGACACCAGGTCACCAGTTCAACCATTCAGTCTGATCCAAGCATTATATCACTGATTTTGATTCTTCTACTATTTTCCACATATACCTGATAGTTCACATTTCACTTAAAGTATGTGTTTCTTATGTATATGTACCATATTTATAGTCATTTAAAACTTATATTTAGCGTTATTGATGTATTTCTTGGATTTATTTGGGGGCCATGGTGTGGGACAGTCTGAGACAAGGACTAGGCCTGGGCTATGACCCTTATCATAGGTGTTAAGCCTGGCCTGGGCTGGCCTATGATCACCCCTAGTGTAAGCCCATAATGACCCAAAACATATGACTTGATGCATTACAGGGTTAATGGGTCGGACAGGTTGGAGTTTCTACCCATTTAATTTTATTTAAATGGGTCATTACTCATTAATGGGTTGGAAGGTTAGATGGATGATTTGAATCTCAACCCAAACCAACCCACCCTAAAACAGAACAAGAAAATAAGAATTCGTTTAAAAATGTTATTTTCAGTCACAGTCTAAAAGTTAGCCTAAGAGCTTACCCATTAGAGGAACTAAAGAAAAAAGAACTTGAAATTAATGCTCTGTATATTTAAAATAAAATACTTGGAAACTAGAAAGAATTAAGAGTATCTTTAATAGAAGTGGTAGTTGAACACGGAAGAAGTACTGGAAACAAAATGAAAAGTATATGATTCTATATTGCTCATTATTTCATTTACAAAAAAAAAAAGAAAATAAGAATTCCAGAATATTTCCACGGGCAATAACTGACCATAAGAGAAATTTCAATGAATAACAGTGGATCACTATGTAGATTAATGAGTGCTGCAATGATATTATGAGTATATGACATATAGACAGCAGATGCCAATATTTTAAATTAACAAATGAACAAACCTGGCTAGTCTGAGCTGGACTCTTGCACTGCCAATATATGTCTCCATGCAAAGGAATTTCAGAACTTGAAGAAGAGTTTAACAGCTCCAGTTGAGAGAAAGGCAAGGGAAAAGGCTGCACTTGTAACTCATGATTCATTCTGTCCATTTGTTGAATATCAATACTAAGACCTTGAGGATTTAAGAAGTTATGATCAAGATCTTCACCGAGTGGGCCTGAATTATTGTTTTTAGATGAGTATATGTCAGCTTGCATTTCTGCACGGATCAAAGAAGAATGACTCTTTCTCTCTGTGAGCTGAAGCCTTTCTAAGTCAAGAATTTGTTGCAGAATGATGCAAGTTTCTCGCTGCTGTTGAATCATCAACTCAGAATGTAGTAAAGATATTTAAATGAAATGTTTGCAAATATATAGAAATTATCACTGTAAGAAAGAATAGAGGAACCAAAACACAGCATAAAATGATAATGTTGTTAACATGAATTATCCTAATCTATTAACATTGACTCGACAATTTTAGGAATGGTAATTGACTTTCAGAATACGCAAGGAAATAACAAAATCATACCCATAAAATTCCACTCTATGTTCCAATACCCCATTTTGTTTAAAGATAATGGACCGGGCCAATGTTTCATAATGCACATAATATCCCTAAATCTTACTAACTAGATGAAACCTCTCACTATGTTGAGTGGAATTTGGATTAGCTGAACACTTTAGCTGTTTAGCAGGCTGTGGAACCAATGATAATGCCCCATTCCTGTGACAAAATACATGGGGCCCACACTGAGAGGCTGAATGGTTGTTACTCCATGTATTTATGACTGGTGTGGAGTGTTATTATTGGTTCCACAGCCTGCTGAACAGCTATTACATTCAGCTAATCCTATCTCTGTTGAGTAAACTAATAATCTGGACCTCAAAAAGCATTTCCTTTAAATAAAACTACTTGACCCAGGCAGTCAATCTGTTCATAGAACTTGTTTTGTATCACTTAAAATAATTAACTAATAACAATCAAAATAAGAACAATAACCTGGTTGTAAAGTGTAGGTGCTGCTATAAATGAGTAGAAAGTGGAGAATGGAGAGAGAAGAGAAAAGAATTTATAGAGCAATCTATCTTGGGCATCCACCCACTTTTCTGTTTATATGTATAAAATAACAGTGGTGAAAAAGATGAGATCGGCTTCAATGCTCACAAGACTGTGCTCACATCGTTCGCACAGCCTTTTACAGCCGTGCATTGGGAATATCTCCGTACTTGTATTTTTCTTCATGGAGAGATATTCCCAATGTGAGGCCGTAAGGGACTGTGCGAACGGTGTGAGGACCAAATCCAAATTCGGAAAAGACATTCCCCTCCCCTCCCCTTTATGTTGTAACTGTATTTACTTGCCTTCAATTAAAGTTTCTAAAATCATCAAAGACAACACACTCCCAGCAATATTACAGGCTATAATATTCTTAAACATAGACTATAGATTTCTTACCAAGTAGAAGATATCAAGAACAGGCTTAGAAGAGTAAGATTGATGAAGTGATAATTCATTTTAAAGCCAACAAGACAATAAACAAACAAATCATGGAAAGAAGCAAGTTCTACCTACCGTGCCTTGTAGACTGTTTGATTCCACTTCCGTCAAAGAAGACACTTCAGTCAATGGGCATAAGTTTCTTGCAATGTCCAAATTTGCCACACTGGGAGATAGAGAACCAGATGAGGCTGAGACAAGCTGATCTTGAAAACCACTGGCACAAAGCTCATTTAAGTCATAACCCCATAAAACTGCAAAATCCCTGGCAGAGGGGCAACCCCTGTAACTACTCATTGCTCGTTTTTTATGCTGGGAATCGATTGCATGAAGCTTCTGGTCACAACCATGACACATGAGCATCCGATGATCCAAGCACCGGGAATATGCCGGATGATTTCTGCAACCATCACAAAGAAGGGCTCGGAAATGCTTCTCAGACAAAGAATTAGCTGAATGAACCCGTGAATCACAAGAAAGGCAAAGATATGCTGCATCAGCCTTGCAGTACACCACAGGCTTGGATTCCGCACAAAATTCACACACTTTCTCCATTTTCTTAGTTTCTAAACCGTTCGCTTAACATAAAGAAATTTCAAATTCTCTGACAATTTCCAACATGAAATTTATCCACGGAACATCAAAATCATATCCAGTGATAAATTCAACATCCCAGACTCTTAGATTGTTGAAGATAAAATCAGTTTCCATGTAAATGTTCCCTGATCAACCAAGGTCCTAGAATCAGAAAAGCTGAAACAACCAATGGAATTTCTCCTGCATTCCTATCAGAAATCCACAATTCTACCCACTTCTCAAATCAAATTATGCAAATTGCAACGAAGCTCTCTACCAGAGAAATTCAAATTAATGACTGATCATAGTTTAAGAAACCCATGCCATAAGCCAATTTTCACCATGCACCTGCCACTCTTAACATGAAAAAATCTAGTCCTTCAGAAGAGAAGTTTCAATCTCTAACCAACTACTCAAACAATAAATCTAGAAACCTAACCAAGATATAAATCCAAACGCCTCCAGTTTGGCGACCAAAGAAGAGAATTTTCTAAAATGAAGGCCAAACGAGTAGCCGTACCTACCATTTAGCTTTCTCGATAAATCCAAAACCAGTTTAAACTAGAAAACAAAAATCCACGGTTCTAATACCAAAGCAGATCAATGCAAAGACATATCTGGTTACATGATAAGAAAAACAATAGCAGGTGTTTTCTACGAAACAAGAAAAAAACTGCAGTCAAGAATATGAATATATGAAACAGAAACTTCCAAAATCCTAACAAAATCAATCAGAACTTCACCATTAACGACCTCTGCGACTCACATTTCTCTGCTGTTTCAGCTTCTCTTTTGGAGTTTCCATCTTCTCTCTCAGACTCTCTTCTCTCTCTCTCTTCAATAGTCTATCCTCGAGGGAACTTTTTAGCCCCACGTGTCCACATTCTGCGGAAACTTTCTGACGTGGACTGGACACGTGGCTACCGCAGGACCCGGGGACGCTGGATGTACGAAGGAGGTCCATCGTGTGATCCAAAAGTTTAGCTGTTTAGACCAATAACATTTTGCCATGTACGAAGGAGTATAAATGACGGCTACGTAGATGGATTGACGCGGGCCCCATTTAGAGATTGGGTCTGAGTGTTGTGCACGGATCTCCTGTTCGACAGTTAGATAAAAAGGCCAAAAAAAGTAACGACGTTTTAAAGAAGGACACACGTGACACATTGAGCTTTGCTGGATTAGACGTTTTTTCTTCTAGAAGCTAGATTCCATACCGTGGACTAGGTCATGCAACGGGTCGGAGCAAACCAGATCCAGATCCACGCTTCAATGTCAGAAAACGGATGTGGAAGCGGGTTCAGATCTTCAATGATCTCATATGGTGGATGTGGATCATAACCAATCCATTTATGCATTAGTATCGGATCACGTAGCATCCAATGGAACGTTAAGAATACTATTAAATTCATGGGAGATGTTTCCAATGTGTTAGATTTCCATGTTCTCGACGTTGGTTGGGTAGTCGTAGCAGATATGTGGATTCGAATTCCGCTATTATCACTTCTCTCTCTGAATTTTCATGTGTTGTGTTAAATATCAAAAAAAAGAAAAAAAGAAAAAAAATCCCTTACTCGTTCATAAATATGTGAGACTCGAGTAGAATAGACACTTGAACAAAGTTCAAATGAAATAGTGGACAAAACTGTGGCTCAATGATGTTTTTAGGCTGAGTTTGGAAGGAGTACAAATGTAAATATGTAGAGTGAAAAATCTTATATTTTGTGATGAGTACAGATTTGGCCCTTCAATGACATCATGGTAATTTGGAACAGTTGGATGACACATGGACACCACCTAAGCAATGACTTGGAGTCTTAGATCACAATTTCTCTTCACCTCAACTTAGTGATCTGCCTTCATCGCCAACCTAGTGACATCAACCACAACTCAGGTCGGCTAGAAGCACTTTGTCTAGGGCCGACCTGTAGCACCTCCTCATTGGTCAAAGTGACCTCAACACGAGGAGCGACCTCCTTCGATGGTGTGCTGGCCTGACTAAGGTCTCGATGGCGACTTGCGAGACATACTTGTCAACAAATTCGGCATGCATATCTCGACACCCCCACGTTTCTCAGAAGTTAGCCCACGTTCCGAGCGTTCTGGAGGATGATCAACGTGCGTGGTGGTTACCTCCAGGGATCTCGGACCGGTTAGGCAACCTCTTGAAAATCTCGGATGCGGTGCGTGAAGCCCACACCAAACAATGCCTATATAAAGGCACCAATCCCAATGACACAGGGGAGAGACGCGATTAAGTACATCCTAGCTCTCATACTTTCTGATTTTTTAGCTCGCGATGTATTACAAGAGTACTAACTTAAGCATCGGAGCAACCTCACCGGGTTAATCGCCTCGGGTCCTTTGACATTGTTTCCTTGTAGGTCTCTTCGAAGAGTTACCCAACTCGGCACCCGAGCAACCTCCTAATTCAATCAAATCAATTCGGCATTCAAGCCTTTATCTAGCAGAAATACTCCTGCTCGACCTCTGAGTCATCGAACATCAAGAAGTAATCAGAACAACAGAATGCTGCCAAAAAACGCTTCATCAGTTTGTATTAATTTGTATGTATTTACATTGTACATATTTGCATTTGTACTCTTTGGATTTTTAACCTGATTTCAATCTGAAAACATCAATGCAAAAAAATTCATCTACTCAATGCTAATACATAACTGAATCTCCTACCCACAAACTCTTCCCACATCCCTATCCACAAAGACATTACCACTGTGTATTGAGAACATTTCCCAGTGTTTCCAATGGGGATGATCAACCACCAGGATTAAAAAAATAAATAAATAAAAATTCTTGACCAATGTCTCAGTGGTGTCTAGGTCTGACCAGATGAAGAATAGTGACAGACAGGTGACTTGATTGCAATTGAATATTGTAATCAAACACCCATATAAATGGGTCCTACAGCACACATCAAGAATCGGATACATTACCCCCATATTAAACGGATTTTAGAAACACTTTTCTTTAACTATATAGGATAATATATGGTATTTGGATTTAATTTTTATGACCTACATAGAATCCAAGACAAGAATCCATAGTATAGATGAATAATGAATTTAATATAATCCATTAGTCATTAAAAATTTAGATAATCAGTAAATGATACATTACAGATTTAAGTGAACTTAATCATAATATACTTTTTTGAAAATGCATGTCTTAAAAAATTAATATGTTATTCTTTATTTTATATTAAATTATTAATTAGTAATTGCAGACAACGTAATCTTAATTTCATAAATGTACTAGATACATGGGAATGGCAGAAGATCCATAAAAGACAAATTATGTCGAAATTGATAAATTTTAGTTACTTAAATTATTATTCTTCGTTTGTTTATTTTTATTTCTATAAATTACCAAAAATTAGGAATTCTAAGTTTTATTGTAGAGAATTTTGGATCTATTGATCTGACGCAGTACCCATAATCCATGGATTCATGGTTTGGTTTATTCCTTCCATGGAAGTTTTGGAAAACATTAAATGGTGTGTTTGGTTTGAAGGAAAAAGCAGGGAAAGGTAAGGAAACCTATACAAAGATTGTAAAGGTTTCCTTATCTTTTCCTTCCTTTTCCTACCTTTTCCTTCAAACCAAACATAACGTAAGGGTTCATTTGTGTGCAGCACAATTTCATTTATACTTGTTTAAGTGCATGAGAGTGCAAATGAGAATAATGCAAGTTTTTGGTTAAGTTTTCATTACCCTTTCTTTCAAACCAAACACAGCCTTACTTATTGTGCAATGCAAGCAAATAAAATAAGGCAAAATCTAAAATGAAAATAAACCAGAACTTGCACTCCTATAATTTTGCAGCAAATGAAATTACACCGCAAACAAACCAGGCCTAAGGGGGAGAAATAAATTCTTTTCAGTTTTTCTTAGAACCATCCAAAAGGCTCCAACCCACATCCCTGCCCAAAAGACACTACAACTACCCATTGGGAACAGTGGGGAAATGTTCCCAATACACAGTGGTAGTGTCTTTGTGGATAGGGACGTGGGAAGAGTTTGTGGGTAGGAGATCGAGTTAGGTATTGAAGAATCAATTTTTGGTTATGTATCAATATTTTGGCTAAGTATCTCGTCATTTGGTCTGCTTCCAAGTGGTCGATGACTCAGAGGCCGAAGTGGAGCTACCTAGGTGCCGAGTTGGATTGATGAGCTTCGTTACTCTTTAAAGACCTGCAAGGAACCAAATGTCAGAGGACCTGTGGTGGCTAACCCGACGAGGTCGCTCCGATGCTTAAGTCAGTACTCTCATAGTAGACTGCGAGCTAAAAATCACAAAGTATGAGAGTTAGAAGTTGCTTACTTGCTTACTTTCTTACTCCTGGGGTTGGTGCCTTTATATAGGCATTGTTTGGCGTGGGCTTCACACACCATATTTGAGATTTCTGCAAGGTCGTCTAAGTGGTCGAGATTCCTAGAGGTAACCGCCATGCACGTTGACCACCCTCCGGATCGTTCGACACGTGGACCAACTTCCAAGGATCGTGGGAGTGTTTGGATATGCATGCCGAATTCGTCGGCGAGCACGTCTTGCAAATCGCCAGGTTGCGCATGTGCCAGGCCGCCAGGTCGCGCCTGTGCCAGGCTGCTAAGTCACACCTAGGCCAAGCCGCCAGGTCGTGCCTGTGCTAGGCTGCCAGCACGCGCCAAGGCCAGGTCGCGCCTAGGCCGCCAAGTGGGACACCATCAACTTGGCTAAGGCAAATTGTTGCCAAAATGGTTCCGGGTATCACCTATTTGTTCCGAGGTGTCATGTGTCACAATATCATTGAAGGGCAAAATCCGCCCTCATCAGATATTAGCATTGAGTAGATGAATTTTTTTGCTTTGCCGAGAAATACTGATGTTTTCAGATTAAAATCAGGTTGAAAAATCCAAGGAATACAATTGCAAATATGTACGGCATAAACACATACAAAATATAAGGTTTTGCACTCTTCATATTTTCATTTGTTCTCCTTCCAAACTCAGCCTAAAAACATCATTTGGTCACAGTTTTGCCCACTATTTCATTTGTTCAATAGTAAAACGGAAAGCTTGTATCGTTTAGGTAAAGAGATCAAAAAGATAACAACTTGAATCAAAAGTTTTTGGCTCTTTTAATTACCGTACCTTTTCTGTACGATAAAAATTGCCATTACCCTCTGATTATCGCTTACTAACTAAAAGTTCGATGACACTTGGGCTTAGTTTGGAAGGAGTTCAAATATAAATATAAAGAGTGCAAAACCTTGTATTTTGTGTTTGTACTCTTTTCAAACTGAGCCTAAGGCTCCATTTGGAAGGGGTACAAATACAAATATGTAAAATGCAAAACATTGTATTTTATATTATTTTGTATGTATTTGTACAGTACATATTTGTATTTGTACTCCCTCCAAACTTTGAAAAGAGTACTAATACAAATATTTAGAGTGCAAAACCTTCTAATTTGTATTATTTTGTATGTATTTGTACTGTACATATTTGTATTTGTACTCCTTCCAAATTGAGCCTTGGCAGAAACTTTCAACACAGACTGAAGGAAATTAAGCCCACAACGATTTGATTGCATGTCTAACAAAAGAAAACTCATGCCACTTCAGATTTTCCAAAGGATTGTCTCGATCTCAACCTTCTAGACTGATTACATTGCCAAAAATCTGCATCTCCTTGTTTGCTTCGAACTTCAAAGGAGCATTCATGCTCTATAACGCAACTTTCTATTTCTTCTGTTTGATAAATAAATAATTTGTGGTCATTCTTTCCTTAAAGCATTCCTCCTTGATTCTCTATTTATTTCTGATGAAAGACAGCATTGTGAATCTTTAATCTTCTCTTCTAAATTGAAAGATGTGGCACCGATATTTGTGCACTTGGTTTTGTTCCTGACTATCTTCTTTTAATCTCAGCCTTTCTTCATCGGAGAGCTAAGATTCAATGTAGCTTTGCCTTCATGATTCGCATCACTGAACTGCCCACTTCAGTACCTGCAGACTGCAGTCATCTTGATCATCAATATTGCACAAAATTGCGAAGACACCTACCAATAGATTATAGGCTTCACCAGCTCATATACATGCATTCCTCTAAACATTTTTTAAGTTGGCAAGGCGTCTAAGCAATTCTGGGTGACAGTGAGGCACCTAGGCAATAAAAATTTCATAAAATAAAAAGCTAAAATCTGCCTAATTCCCTACTTTTATATACCATTCAGCAGCTTATTAATTGAAAAAAATAGCAAATCTCTTTATTAAGAAAGTTAAATTTCCTCCAAAAACGTAACAAATCATCATATCTAGGAAAATAGTATTTCAATACTTTCAAGAATAATACCAATACAATAAGTATTTAATGGAGCAATTTCATATAGATTAGTAATTAAAGAAGGCTATACTTTTAAATGATAAAATTTAAGATAGATAGTAAGAACAAGGATGAGGCTGCTGTTTTATTTAATGTAGGAGGGAGAATTTTAAAACAAAGTGTATATATATATATAGATATTATTTTCCTATTGAAACAACATAAATAAACAAATCAAGATAGAGCCTCAACCAAATTGACAATAATGGATCACTCAAAAAAGGGAGAAAAAAAAAACAGAATAATTCCATGAAAAATGAACATTTGACAACCCCACAAAAATAAATGGCAAGTGCTTTATATGTTAAGACAAATTGTCGGTTTTCTTTTTAACCTAGAAGTGTCATCATACCTATGGTCCCTTTTTCATTTCACAAAGTATGCATGGCTGGAAAATGAAGGGAAGAGAAAAGAAGGATCGGATGTTTCCATATTTAGTTCCTTTTGTTTTTCAAAACAAGGGCAAAAAAAAAAAAAAAAACTAACAATTCTAATGTGGGGGTAAACATAAAGATGTATTAGGCATGAGTTTTCAGCAGAAGGTAGCTACTTCAATAGAATTCCCCAGGGGAAAAAAACCATGGAAAAGAAAGTACTATTGCACATCATGGGTGTCCTTTGAAGGATAAAAATGTTGGATTGTAACATCTAATCCACTGGATATAGTTCACCAAGGATCATAGGCCCATGTACAAATACCTTTACAGTGAAATCTTATATCTATCCATGGATACTACACTGTCAATAGAGGAGCCTCGATATGATTTATCTATCTCAAAGTTCAAAGCTTTCACTTTAACAGTTTAATCCATGGAGGACAGCCTGTGTTGCCCCCCACATCAGGATGACAGGGGCACATTGGACATGGATTTTAACAGAAGAAAACCCATACCTGATACCACTACTTCAATGCAATTACATTATTGAGGCGGTGGACTTTGAAAAGAGTTTGTACTAGGAACGTCTAACCAGAAAGAAAGTAATATTGAACATCACAGGTTCCCCAAAGTATAAAACTGTTCAATTGGAACATCTAATCTTTTAGTTCACCTAGGGATTATAGGTCCATCCGCAAACACCTATGTTTTAAAATCTTACTTTACAATATAGAAGATTATAATACACTTCAGCAGAGGAGAGTCAATATATTGGTTTCATATCATAGATCAAAACTGTTAATCGAGCAGTTTTAGCCTATGGAGAACAGTGTATTATCAACATCAAGAGTACACAATCATATCCCACATGGGATATGAAAATGATTAACCAATTGTGGTAATGATAATGTGATAACAGTTGGTAGGAAAGATACGGTGAATAAAAGCTTACTTAAAAAGAAAATATTGATGAGGGGAGTGGTGAGAGAATGTTCACAGGACCACTCTTGAAAAGAGACTAAACCTAACATATTGAGTGAAGCTTGTCTGATTACAGTAATGCTATGACATATATTACCTAGTGAAATCTTATTTCATAATGGTATTTAATGTAAGGTTTGAGGTTCAATGCTTTTGCACATTATAGCAGGCCTATAAAATGCTCCCTATGAAACCCATTTTTGCAAGTTGATTAGGGGAGTGGTGATCCAACGATCACTCTCTCACTAAGGAAACCACGAGCACCCTACCGTGTTTCTCAGTCATTGACTTGAAAATTCAGACAAAAGTTGTAAACTTTTTCTTTAACTTTTGAACCAATGAGCAACAAACATGGTAAGGTGTGCATTGTTTCCTTGATGAGAGAATGTTCACAGGATCACCACTCTTGATAAGGAACTAAACCTAATGTATTAAACGAGGCTTGTCCAATTATAGTAATTCTATGACATATATGACCTTGTAAAATCTTCTTTCATAATGGTATTAAATATAAGGTTTTAAGTTCAATGCTTTCACACATTCTAGCAGGCCTATAAAAAGCTCCCTATGTAACCCATTTTTGCAAGATGAATAAGGTGAGATGAGGTCTTATATTAGCAATAGGGATATCATTCTTTTTCTTTATGTTGAAAGAATTATAGGCTGCATTCTTCATGGAAAATGTGGGTTGACAATGATGATAGTCCCAATCAATGTCACTGTTCATATCATTTCAATTGAAGACAAGGAGCCGGTAATCCATCTCTCTCTCTCTCTCCCATATGTATACACAACATAAGCACACATATATGCATACAAAAGTATATGTTTGATTGTTTATGGAGACAAGAAATCTTAAGCATGGCAATGTGGCTGGGGTCCCTTCTTGGGCCTCAAATGTCCCTCTTGCTGCCCACTATTTGTGTACAAGTTTCAGCTTAAATCATCATGCCACCTAGCCCAGGTAAATCCTTCTCCAGGCATACTTTGTAAATCAGAATATAGAAACTCTGGCAGGCTATTATGGTTGTAGGGGAGAAAAACCAACAGGCTAGCATATAGGCAGATATGAACAAAGGTACCAAGGAAGGGTGACCCATGGTTAATCTGGAAAGACCTTATCTGATGGATGATTTTGGATTGGCCATAAGATTCCTCCATGTGGTAGGAATATTTAGTGGTTGGCTAGCAAACTCCCCTACTTGCCTGTCATCAGAAACCTTTTTCCATATATCCTTGTGTATGTTTTCTGTATGCATCTATTTTCCTTATTTGTATGCATTAATCTATCTTGTTTTATGCACATATATGTTTTGAACAAAGGAAACCCTCTTTCATAAAATATGTTTAAGTAAAACTACTCAAATAGTCAAATTTCATTTATTGGTTTACAAGAATAAAGGACTTATACTTTGACAGAAAACATATCCTTTTATAAAGAACAATGGTGGGACAGGATTTGTATAGACTGCCCCAAGTAGTTGGGAATAAGGCTTATTTGAGTTGGTTTACAAAGACTATCAATTTTAGGTTGGGCTTAACCTGTTAAAGACTAATACAGAAAACTAAAGAAGGTACGTTTAAAACTTGCTACAATGATCTTAGGGTTGTTGATGGAGGCTATGATGGCTCATGATAGGATCTAATAGAGCACAATCCTAGTTTTATTTTTACTCTAACTTAACAACTTCAGCTAAATGCCAGATGGTCACAGTGTAAGGGCAGCATGTTATGTTGGACCAAAGGATGCTTAAAATTGGGTCAAAAATAATTGAATGGGAAAAGGTTTAGAGGATTAAAGCTGAAATTTCTCTGACAAGAATTAGGTGTTGACATGACTCATTTAATATTTCTTGTAACTCTTTTTTTTAATACTTGAACCTATTTCCCTTTCGTTAATTTTAATGAACTTTTTTTTTTCAGACTATACATTGATATTTGGAGATATTATATAGTAATTCAGAAAGGGCAAAATAACCTCAAGCAATCTAATATCAGATAAAGTGGTAACAAGGTGTCATATTTATAACTCTTTTTTATTTTTGATAGGAAATGGTAACTTTCATTAGAGAATTGAAAAGATTACAGGCTTACAACCCACAAAATGGATGGAAAACAAAAACAAAAACTTACAAGCAGGCCCAAAACAACCTCCTCTTCCTACTATTCCTCCTCATTGTCTTTTTCATCAAATCTCAAAAATAGAGAGACACATTTCCACCAAAACCCAATATGCATTCTTTGGATCATCATCATCATCATCACAGAAAAGCTTGGATTAACATTCATATACGGTAGGGCTGAAGTTTTTCATTTTCTCTTATCATCTATGTATATAATTTTTTTTAGAAAAAGCTAGTTGAACTGATTTGTACATGAGAGTTATTCAATATTCTCTATTTTCCCCATATTACATAATATGTAAAACAAGGTTATCTTATTTTTTTCCCGTTTAACTTGGGTTGTGGTTCTGAAAGACTAGGATCTTGCTTCTATGTTTTAGGTCTAATAAATTGTTCCTGTTTTACTTTATTGCATTTCTCTTTTTCTGTTTCTTGTCTATTTAACTTTTTTATAATTGAAATTTTCCATCTACTTATTAGCTCAATTGAAGTTATAAAGAGTCCACCATTTATTTGGATTTTGCATTTTTAAGGGTACATTACATAAAATTCATAATTGTTTAGATTTCCAATTTAGCAATTAACCTTAAATAGATTTTTATATGGAAAAATTATATGCAAATCGGTTGTATTAGAGTTGATATCTTTCCTAGATGTTCTCACTTTGATGTGAATGAATCATAATATACTCTTCAATTTTTTTTTTTTTTTTTGAAAAATTGTAAGGTAAATTTATTAAATGGAAACAGAGATTACAAAGGAACCCTCTTTAAGAGCAATAGACCAGGCCCAAGGACCATGTTCTATATGTATCATGTATGGAGAATATAATGATACAATCTGTAATCATAATTTTTATGAATTATTTTTTCTTGGTACATTATATGTGTTTGACTCAAATAGATACAAGATTTGTACCCTACCCTTTTGAGCTTTCATAATTGGTATCACAATTGTTACCAAGTTTAGCCATTTATGTCTTAAAACATTGCAATTATTTTTGTAACTCCTAATTCCGATTCAAGCATACAGATTTCATTTTTATGGTTCCCTATCTTTATTATTGAAATGGGTAAAGACAGCCCTTAGTAAAAGTTTTTTTTTTTTTTCTGATTGTTTTCAATATTTGATACTATACCAAATTTAGATAGCTACTTTTACAAGTATTATTTAACTATTTTTTTACACAATCTTTGATATCCTTCCAAAATAAGAAATCATCTTATTGCATGACAAGGGTTATCGAGCTGAAATTGCTATAGCATGAATAGAAGGTTACAATATTATTTATCAAAAAAAAAAAAAAATAGAAGGTTACGATATAACTATGCTGCGATATTTTGGGCCCCTAACCATATCAGTGCTTGGAAAATTCTTGGGTTGTTTGAAATTTCCTAATTCATGTGTCTCCTCAGTAGATGAAGAGAAAAAAGGTTTACTAACTGAGTAGATTAGGCACCATTGGGGCATTGCTTGGTGCAAAGGTAAAATCTCAAATGACAAACATGAAAATGTAGATTCAAGTCTGAATGTGGTTATTTTATGCAAAAAATTCCAAAGATTAAGTCCATATCCGATCCAAACCTTTTAAGATTTCAGAAATATGAGACCAACATTGGGTAATGACCCTTATAGATTAAGCAGCATATCTATTATCTAGATGACCTGTCCAGTTTCTGCCACAGAGAGACAATGTCACTAATCTAGATGGTCTATTACGTAGAGGATGCTCCAAATTTCTGTGCTTTATATTCCCAACCCGCATCAGCTTCATGCCCTTGGGGGTGAGCATTTTTTTGGTTAAAACCAAAATACCGAACCAAAAATTTTGGTTTCGGTTTTTGGATAATTCAGTTCGGTTAATTCAGTTTTTAGGAATTTCGGTTTTGGTTTTTAGAGCTAGAAATTCAGTTAACCGAAAAAACCAAATTAACTGAAATTCATTATATAATATGTAATATATAATATACAATATATAACATTTAATATATAATATGCTATATATTTATATATTTATATATTAATATATTATACATAATGTATTATAATGAAATTCAATTTCATAATATATATTATAGGTTATAATATATAATATTTTATATATTAATTAAATTCGGTTTTTAACCAAAATAACTGAAAACCGAACCGAAATTTTCGATTTCGGTTTTCTTGTAATTCGGTTTCGGTTCAGTTTTCATTTTTATTTCGGTTTATTCAGTTCGGTTTTTAACTGAATAAACCGAATGCTCACCCCTACATTCCCTATGAATTGTTGGCACTTATCAAATAACCATTGAAATTGCCAATTTTTTATTCAAACCATTCCAAAAATAAGGATTTAATTTGAAACTGTGCCAAGTGCAATAGGGCTGAAACTTGCCCATGAATATATATCTACTTTATTGATCTCCATCCCTAGTTGGTCTTGATTTTTATACATCTCTTTCGGCTAATATAGGAGTTGGTCTTGATTTTTATACATCTCTTTTGGCTAATATAGGAAATAAGGTTGATAGACCATGTTAAATTGATTAAGACTTTTAGGTGTTTTTGATCTATCAGTTCTTTAGCATTCTAAATTTTACTTTCTTTGACATTAAGTGGGTTAAGAAAATCACTGCAATGTTTTTGATATATCAGTTCTTTAGCAATCTAAATTTTACTTTCTTTGTCATTAAGTGGGTTAAGAAAATCACTGCAATGTTTCTGCCATTATTAACTAGTATTATCTTTTCTTTGCATACACTCATGTTACTTAAATATATGCAATGTGCATACAATGTTTTATAATTAATTGGTCATATATTTTTCAGAAAGTTTCTAAAACAACATATTAATCAGTTTATTGGCCGTTAAGTATACTTAATTAAACAAGTCCATAGAAGTTCACATTTATTAGATTTTGCAATATCTTTCATGAACTTTCTATTCCCCTAGCATGATCTTCCCAAAGCTTCGATGCAAATGACCTGGATTTTCTTTTCAAAATCTTGATTCAGTTCTATCAATCTTTTATAAACATTTAATATTGATTTTGTTTTGGCTACTTTTCTTCCAGATACCAACTAGCTGTTTGAACATTTTTTTCCTGGTAAAAATGGACCCAAAAGCATCTGATGCTTTGTCCATTCTTCAGGAAAAAATGTCACATTTGACCTCATTATGGCTGAATTTGACATGGCTGACATGGCTGGGTTTAATCTCTTGAAGAGATAGCCTTGGAAATAAATCTCCCTCCAGTTTGTAAGTTTGACCTTCTAATTCAAACATCTCTTTTATTTTTCACTTAAATGTTCTTGACATGTATCCTTACTTATTTCCCCAGTAGAATTTCTATTTTTTTTTAGTTAATCTTTTTTACAGCCATGTCAGATGATATAGGCATGTCTACAGCAATCAGAGCACTTGAAAATGAGGCTTGCTCCTTTCATATGAAGCCCTTGTCCATAAGATGCACTTCAGGGCATATGGCAACACATGCTCATTAAAAGGGTCACTTGATGTAATACACTGAAAACACAACAGGTGCTGGATTTCTGAAGGCATTAGAAGGTATATTGACTGTCAGTCCCTGGTAAAAGAAAGGACCTGGACACAAGGAATATTCAAGAGAAAGATGGAAGAGCATTAAGAAGGCAAAGGCAACAAAAACACTAACAAGGAAGGCTTGAAACAAATTAAGCCAAATGCTTATGCTAAGGAAGAAAATGATAGAGGAAATAACAACACCATCGTTAGGACCAAGAATCCAAAGTTGTGTTTCCTAGGCTAAAGCTTTGGCAAGACAGGATCTTACCAGAAATTATTTGTATTGGGTGGCTACTAATCAGGAAACTTGAATTGTATGTTAGTGTTCAAATGTTAGGGTTAGGTAGCAAGGGACTGCTATTTGGGGTGCTTGGTACATTTTCTTCTCCTTTGTACAAAACTAATTCTTCATCTCAATTAATAAATCTGACAAGATATCAATCCAAAACAAGAAAAGAAAAAAGTCTATTTGACCTGTTTATTGATGCATCCAGAAAATAGGCTTATAAAGTAAAACTCTCTATTTAACCCAGTTTAAAGCTTCAATGCTGAAACTCTATATTTAAAGATTCCTCCACAGCCCTCAATTCAACCAATATTTTCTGTTTCCTATCAGAAAATCCTCCAACTACCTGTCAACCCCTCAAGATCATCCATTGGTGACTCCGTTAAAATCTTTAAAAGTCAAAGGTTCTCACCATGATGAGATCAATTAAGGACTATATGTTTGTTCCTTGTTTTCAAAACTCTTAGCTTTCTCCTCACCCCATATACTCCACAAATGGCTGCTCTAAAGCATTGCCACAATTTTTCTCTTTTTGTATGAAAAAAAAATCAGGTTCGGTAGCAAACAACTCATTAATATCTAAAGGCAGATGTCCCGGAAAAGTAGGACAAAATAGTTCCATACCTGAGAAGCAACCCGGCAAGATAAAACGAGCTAATTGATGGTTTCACCACCCTTAAAGCAGAGGAAAGACAGATGAGAGGGCAAACGGAAAATCTTCCACCTTCACTAGAGCATCTCACAAGTATTGATGATCTTAAGTGCTACCTCCCAACAAAAATCCTTAACCTTAGGTGGAGTTGTCATCCCAAATGAAGCGTATCTTGGTTGATTTGTCAAATTTATAATAGATGGACTAAGACCTGTCTTAAACATGCTTAAATAGTTTTTCCATTTCTAAAGGCAGAAAGTTTATCCGAGAATACACAATGCAAGCATAGCTTACCATATATGTAAATGCATAACGTACCCAGTTAAGGTATACTGGCTTGTAAAGAGACCCAAAAGAATATGCATAGTTTGCTGTAATTACCTTCATTACTGTCCATGTTGAAGTGACTAGTGAGTGAAAATAGCTCTACCCTTCTCCACTGCAATAGTGTAAATGAGAATCACAAGGACAAAAACATCAAGAAATGCTAATACAGGTTAGAGGCCTAAGAGGAAGACTACCTCAAGTTCTGACACTTAAAGATGAAAAGGAAGTTAAAAGGCCAAGGCATTCCATTGTACCTGCAACATTTCATGCAGCAGTCAGTTGTCCAAGAAAGGAAAACCACATAATAGGAAGACCATTTAAGTTTGCAGTGGTAATTTCCCTGTGAAAGCAATAACTACATATCTAGAAGCTTCATGTCCAATGCCATTTGTCATATCCATGTTAAGTAGATTGATTACTTGAATCAGCTGTGCATGTGAAAAATCCACATTTGTTGCAACAGCCCACTGCAAATGTACAAATCGTTCAAGAGATTGGAGTCTCAGACAAACTTGTAATAGATAAGACAACACTGGGGAAAGCATGGCCTTGATGCAGCAATGAAATTTTTTAACTACAAAATGGATGCATTGTCAGATATTCCTGACCAATAATGTTAAACTGAAGTTGTAAAATGCATTTGATAAGCATTAGATGATTCAAAAATTATTACATGCTTTATATACATATTACATTTAGAAAAATATCAAGCTGACAAGCATGAGAACACAGACTCGAGTTTGAAAGTAGCCACTTAATGCAAAAAAAAAAAAATGCCAAAGGTAAGGTCTTTATCCAGTCTGCCCCTCCCAAGACCCCAGATAGCTTGGACCAACAATGGATAATGGCCTTTTTTACAAGCATGAGAATATGGATTCAAGTATGAAAAAGGCTACTGTGTTCCAAAACAACGGAGGTTAGGTCTCTATCCAGTTCACCCTTCCCAAGACCCCGGATAGCTGGGACTGACATTTGGTAATGGCCTTTTTCACAGACATGAGAATGCGAATTCAAAGTCTGAGAGAGGCCACTTCATGCCAAAGTGATGAAGGCTAGCTCTGTATACAGTCCACCCTTCCCAAAACCCAGGTTAGCTAAAGTTTTCCACCAAAGAAAAAAAGAGGTTAGCTGGAACTGGGAATAGACTTTCTAGTCCAGTCAAATTGCTAATGCTCTTTATATGTAATCTCCTAGAACTGGTACTGAGAAAGAATTTAGCTTGATGCAGGACTAGGGATAATTACAAGGTCATGAATCATGATGATGATAATGATGATCTTAATAATACTATTTATTAGATAAAAATGAAATAAATAACAACAAAGATGAGTGAAGGTAAAAGTAATATTTTAATTTTTTATTTACATTTACTGAGGACAGGAAGAAACTGAAGTCATTCATCAGAGGTTTATAACAAATTAAAGGATGGAAAAATGTAGTCCAATAAAAGAGTCTACTACCAGATACAATCAATTCTAAAAATCACAGTCTACATATTTTCAACAAAGATCTTAAAGAGGGTCACGAAAAATATCTTGTGGTTGTTCCTCAGAAGTTCATTGTGATGGCTCATGCAACTCCTACAAAGTTGGTGATATCCATCCAAATTTCATACTACACCATCCATCCTAACAACTACTGATGCACATTCTATTCAAGTGTATTACCATAATATTTTGCATAATCTGCACCATCCAGTGATCAAGTATCCAAAGGGAAGTGAATTATTTCATGAATTGAAGCTTAGTTGTTCAATTTTTCAACTATGAATTAAAATAGAGCAGGGCCTGTGACATGAAAATTGCTCAAGCATCTTGAGTAGATTATAGATATTTATTTAACTGGAGTAGGGGAATGATGTAAAATTTGTATACTGTTCATGTAGATAGTTCCTGAGTTTTAATCAACTGCATCTGTTAAACAGGGACAATAGGGTAGAACAGTGCGAATAGCATAGTCCTGTGTTATGATTATTGTTTCTTAGTACAAGCTACCAAGATCTACTTACCAAGTATTAGTAAAGTTCAGGTAGATTGTAGAAATATCAAGAACGTCAAGAACGAAATTTAAAGAGAAGATTACAAGCTTCCTTGGGGTACTTATCTCTCGACAAATATGGAAGAATAATAAGTAAACTGCAAATGAGTAAGCAAACTGCATAAGTAAATCTAGAAAAATAAACAAGAAAAAAGAATGCATACACGGCATCAATTCTTGGATTAACAGTCCAGCTTGCAATTTGTGAAGAGGCAACTGAAAAACAAAGAAAATGAAAAATAAATGACCAGATTTCAACCATGAACCAAAGGGCACCCAATCTGGGCAAGCAAGCTTGGTGCTCCAGCAGTAGAAAGTAGAGACAACCTGATGCGCGATGGAAGCATACCTCACCCATCAACAACCCAACCGACATGGTGATGAACCGGGTGATTGGATCGGCTGCCCAGAGAGTGCGCCCCACAGCCCATCCCCTCCGTGCACCGGGAACATCTCCCATTTCAAATAAAATAAAGGACAAAATAGTCACAAATGCTTATTAGAGAAAGAAACTATCAAACGCCCAATATAAATAAACACTTATTTTTAGCTTAAACACTCCCAAACATGGCCTAAGTAAGAAATCTTTCAAATGTAATTGCCGGCCCAAAACCAATTAACCAACCCTATTTATATTGGGTTTAGTTCAGATGGGCTTGAGTTAGTATTTTAGAAAAGGGAAAATTCCTGATTAGTACCCCATACTTTGGACCTAGTGCCACTTTAGTCCCTGAACTTTAAAATGCAACAATTCAATACTTGAATTTTCAAAACGTGACAACTTAATACCTACCATTAACTAGCCGTTAAGTGTCATTTGAAAAGAGACAAATGCCCTTCAAGTGTCATCTAAATTTCCTTATCAATCATCCAAGCGTTGGCAAAAAATGAACAGCCTCAAATCCTTGCCTCTTCCATTCAAGAAAGTTGGGATCACATTTCCACGGGCATTCTAATAACCCCAACTTTCTTGAATAGAAGAGGCAAGGATTTGAGATTGTTCATTTTTTGTCAACATTTGGATAGTTGATAAAGAAAATTAGACGACACTTGAAGGGCATTTGTGTCTTTTCAAATGCCACTTAATGGGTTGGTTAATGGCAGGTACTAGATTGGCACGTTTTGAAAGTTTAGGTACAAAATTGTTGCATTTTAAAGTTCGGGGACTAAAGTGGCACTAGGCCCAAAGTACATGTTGCTAATCGGGAATTTTCCCTTTAGAAAATTTAGGCTCAGAAGTGCAAATTGGGCAAGATTATATCGGGTTGAGGCAATGTTTTAAAAAATGACCCAAAAACGGAACCGTTCTGGCCACTGGTTTCCGAGTCAACGGTCCGATCGTCCGGTTCGAATGGACGGCCCATTCTGACAACAAAATTTAAAAATTAAAAAATAATTTAAAAAAGCGGTCAAAAACCGTTGAATGGGTCAACGGGTTTGACTGTTCGGGTCAACGATTTGTTGACTTTTTCAATGGTTTTTGACCAAATTCCGAGTTTGAGATAAAACGGAACCGATTGCCTGAATGATTCCCGGGCTGAACGATCCGACCGTTCGAATCAACGGCGATTCGAAAACGTTGGGTTGAGGCCAACCTAGCCCAACTTGAAATTATAAACCCCCAACCTAGGATCGAGTTGGGCCCAACTTGACCTTATTCCAACCTCTTAAAATCTCATACAATCTCTCAATTTCAGAACTAGACTCAATTTTCATGATATATATTAAATCTATTTTTATATTAGTATTTGTTTTTTTTTTATGTTTGTATTGGTTCTTTTAGAACCAAAGTGAGAAAAATAAATCACTAATGACAATGATCAAACAATAATTTAAATATTTGATGAAGCATATATTAGCCATAATAAAATATTATTATATACCCCTCACATCACATATATAAAAGGCATGCACATAATAGAGTCATATTGAGTAGGGCTGTTCATGAAAAGGGCTAAACTGATTAAACCGGTCCGACTCAAATCGATATGATCAGCTTTTAAAGTATATCCAGTTCAGTTTTGGTTTATAAACATGCATAATCCAATTGACTAAGATAAAATAATCCAAATTGACTAAGATAAAAAAAGGCAAAATATTCAATTTCCAATGTTTAAAATTCTCAATTTTTCAATTTGTCCTCCTTTCTAATTTCAAAAAAAAAAAGTTAGAATTTACATAAAAGTTGTATTTTCTAAAATTTCCTTCCTAGTTTTGAGTGAAGCATTCAAAAGTTCTTTCACTCCTTTTGAGGATTGAGCATTATTACCTAACAGAAAAGACCAGGAAACTTTTAAAAGTCTCACTGTCTAAGAAATAAAACGGTACAGTTTGAACTCTGAAAAATTATTCAAATTGTATTTGTGAATATTCAAACTGAACAGTCTCAAGTTTTTGAAGTCGGCTGGATTTAAATCAACCAAATTGACAAACCCAATTATTCAGACAATAGGTCGGTTTTTATACTCATTCGGTCGGTTTTGGTTGACTGAAACTTTAACCCAAGCAGTTCGGTTCGGTTGAAAAAATATATGCAATCAAACCGAACCGACTCATGTACATCCCTAATAGTCAGGTTGGGTTGGGTTGTTTGAAAGCTCAACCCTGACCCAATCCAAAGTTAAGTCTTTTTGGCATATACCCAAAAGTTAAGTCAGGTTCACAGAGTTCAATCCTGACCTTAACCCGATGATCAGCCTGACCCAATCCAACCCGATTTATTTTGAGTTGGGTTTGGGTTAACCCGTCCAAGTTACGGCCCTACTCGGGGCTCAGGCTTTCGCCTTTGATTGGACCAGGGCTGGGCCCAGACCCAAGCTCAAAAGGTCTGTGTCTTATAGTTGAATAGGGATCTTAGAGGTATAAAGTGGGCCGTGCCGGACCGATACGACACAGCCCGTGGACCTAAAACCTCAGGCCCAGCATGGCATGGATCATCATGCCGGGGCTGGCACGACTTGCGGGCTGTCGTGTCGTGCCGTTCCGGGCCGCGGTTTACACTTTTGTAGTTCACAGTAACCATGTGGCCCATCTATAGCTGAGGAGACAAAACCTTTGATTGTAGATTCCGCCATTCCGGATGGTTTGATGATCCTCCTACTTGGTTAATAGAGGATTTGGCCTTGGATGTTTGTTATAATTTACCAAGCTAGTATTGTATAAAAAAAGAATAGTTTCCAGACTTTTTTACACATATATGTTTGAAGGATTACGTTGTCTCATCAGAAGTTTAGAACAGAAATTAATGAGTTCCACACTTCCACTAGAACCTGAACTAAACTGACTATAATTGATAATTTTTGTAAAGGAAGAAACAACTCAAGAAAAGATAAAAAGGAAAAATAAATCTTTCGATAAACCTGAAAAGCAAGAAAAAAAAATCCATTACCCAATGATTGAGTACTGCTTGTTAATAGGAAGACTTATCTTAAACTCCAAGCTCAATGAAAAAGAAAATGATAATGGTTTTCATGTGTTTTCCTTAGAGTGTCCTCAGTTGGTTGTTATAGAAGATGCATAGCTGAAAAATAAAAGGGAAAAAAAGAAATTAAGCTGCAATGTTTCTTATGTATAGGTCTTTTGATTTTATAAAACATGGGCTAAACATGGAAAAACCCTGGTAAGATGCAGTAGGGATGGGTTTTCCACAGAACTCACCCAATATATATAATTATATATGGTACAATTCCCTTGTTGCAGCAGTGAACTTTGAAAATGATCTAAATTAGGAATTCACCCACCCCCACCCACAGCATTTTTTTTTTCATTGAGAACAACAAGGAAAGAAAGCACTTCTAGAGGTAAGGACCATTTGAGTTCGGATCTCCTGTCCACAAGAACTCTGCCTATGTTTACCCACATAACATCGCAGCCACACATAGGGAACATCTCATCCTCTACATAGTATTATGTACAGAAAGATGTACCGAATGCACGGAGATAGTGTGTTGTGGGTAGACGTGGACAGAATTCTTGTAGACAAGAGATCTGGAGTCGGACCATTTGAATGAAATTTGTAGTCCATGTGATTGATAAATTACATTATGGTTCACAATTAAAGCTTATATGTCATTTACAACTTTCTATTTAAACTTTGGCCCCATTCATAGATTCTGCACCATAGGCAATGGAGCCTCAATACAATGTAAGACGGCTTAGACAGCTTGTGGTGTCAACCCAAATTAAAAAGGAAATTAACACAACCCACATGGAAACAATTAGCCAATTGTGGTAATGACTTGAAGTGTGATAATGGTTGGTAAGACAAATATGGAAAGCATGAACTTAATGAAAAAAAAAAAAAGAATATTGACAAGCCTCATTGTCTCATTGAGGGATTATTAATTACCCATGGATGGATGCCCTATTCTTTTTGTCATTCATTGTTTTGAATATCTATACAGCAAAAGAAAATTTAGTACTTTCGACATAATGAGTGATAAACACAGTGGATTGGCTCACAATTTCTGATAAAGGACTAAAACTTAGCATATGAATCAGGTTTGTCCAACTATAGTAATATCAGATTGTTTATGATCTTCTGAAATCATCTGTTATAATGGTATTCAAAATATATTAGCAGAGTTCAACCTTAGAGCTTTCACTCATTCTAATGGGGCTATAAAGAGTTCTCTATGTAATTCATTTTGCAAAATGAGAGAGGTGAGAAAGCCTTACTACTATTGGTTATAGAGATATTTCTTTTAATATTGTTAGAAACCTAGTAGACTGCACTCTTCAAAGCAAATATGGATTGCAGATGATAGCCCTGTTTTCAATCATGGTTGCCATTCATGCCATTTCAATGAGAGATAATGAGCTGGTAATCTCTCTCTCTCTCACTCTCTACTGTCTTACTAATACCACAAAATCACTGTTGAACTGTATTGTTGCACCTCGAGATCATTGTAAAGAAAACATGCAATACTACAGCATCTTTCACAGTGTGGGTAAAGGAGTAACAACATAGAATTTGCAGTGGAATACAGGTCTGTCAGTCAGGTTGTTTGGTAAAGGAGTAACAACATAGGAGTCTTCCACCTGGCTAAACATTTGGAGTTATCCAGAATGTAAGTCATATGTAACCTTACCACGTAGCTAAACCAAACCTCTCTAGTTCTTTTTTCTTTATAAAAAAAAAAAAAGGAACCAGAAATCTTTCTGGTTCTACTTTTAAACTAGGATAAATTGAAACTCTGGAAAATAAGTTTGTATATATAGTTCCACAAAGCACCAATACAAATGGGGTACTGGCTGATATTTCATGCATGCATAACATATTTAGAGATTTGAAGAATATGTAGCTTTTTTCTTTACTACTCCTGGCCTGTTTTTTGACATTA